TCAAACAAGGGATTGGGGGGGGGGGGGTCAAATTGCCCCCCCCCCAGCGTATCCTGGTTTTCAAGTACCCCAGCGGAGATAGGGTTAATATCCCATACTTTGCCATTTTTAGAGAATTATTAATGCTCATATCAAATCTTGATGTATTCTCAATTTTTTGGTGTATGTTCTAAACACAAGAAGCCTCGTTTTGAATTTAAATATTCAGGAGGTTAGAAAAAGAAAATAATAAGTTGTTGTCAATTATTTTTTATTAATACTTCAAAGCTAAATTGTTACATTGATTGGAGGTACAGAGTTCTCCTAACTTGACTGGTTTTCAGTTTTCATGGGAACTAAATCTTCACTGAAAATAGAAAATATCATCAACCTTTCTTGGTTCTATCAAGCTAGAAGTATTATTGAACCCTAAATATGTCAGTATTTTATAGACGAAACTAGTTTCCAACAAGATTTTAGTTGGACGAAATTCGCGACATTTTTGGCGAAAGTGACGAACGATATTCGTCAAAAGTTTCCGCGAGTGCATTTTCGTCGAAAATGTCTACCCCATTTTCGTTTTGGTAAAAATCGATTTTAAATTTTGCATCGAGAGAAACGTCATATTTCTGACGAAGTGTTTTGAAATTAGATAAAACAGATAATGATGTGCGCTACCCACAAAGAATAATAATTTCGTAACGATCTGAAACTATTATAACTATAATGATCTGAAGGTTGAAGTTGTCTTTCTGCTCTGAAAATTGAACATAGTTTGTGAATTCTGACTGTAGTCTCAATTACGTCTCATCCTAGAATATCGTTCTACTGGTTTCACGTCTCTTGTTAAAAAGAAAAGTTAAGTCAATATGTGCGCAGACGAATCCCGTTCTTCGAATACTGGGTGTTCAAAAGAACATTTAACATGCTTGATGTGAATCTTGGGTAAACTGTTCTTCTGGACATTTTTATACTTCAATTTGATTCAATCTATTTTTATACTTTAATTTGATTTAATCTATTTTTATAATTTAATTTGATTCAATCTATTTTTATATTTTAATTTGATTCAATCTATTTATATAATTTAATTTGTTTCAATCTATTTTTATACTTCAATTTGATTCTATCTATTTTTATACTTTAATTTGATTCTATCTATTTTTATACTTTGATTTGATTCTATCTATTTTTATACTTTAATTTGAATCTATCTATTTTTATACCTTAATTTGATTCTATCTATTTTTATACTTCAATTTGATTCAATCTTTTTTTATACTTTAATTTGATTCAATCTATTTTTATACTTTAATTTGATTCAATCTATTTATATAATTTAATTTGATTCTATCTATTTTTATACTTTAATTTGATTCTGTGGCGGTTATGAAATTCAATCTATTTTTATACTTTAATTTGATTCAATCTATTTTTATACTTTAATTTGATTCTATCTATTTTTATACTTTAATTTGATTCAATCTATTTTGCAACGATTGCTTTGAATAATCTGTATAATAACGCGCTTTGCTCAAATATATATTTGTATATGTATATGTGTATATATGTTAGCTATATGCGTGGCCAGGCGGCTTGACCGAATTGGCTAAAATTTGTTGAGTTAACCATTGGGTAACCTAGAGGTTACAAAGAAAAATTTAGATTTTTTTTTCAAAATCTAATTTTTGATTCGATTTTTTAAAATTCTTCAGCTATAGTAGATTTTATAATTTGCAAATCGAGTAGTATGACTAACTTAACAAGCATTTTTTTGTACTTTGACTTTTATCAAAAAATGAAAAAAATACATATTTTGTAACAATTCTCCAGAAAAAGTTTTTTTAACGAAAATTCTTAAAGGGACTGTACAGGAAAAATTAAATTGGGTATAGCATGAAACCTGAGAATTTCAGGCGTTGAACGATACATAAGCATCTATCTGATGTTCCTGTTCCGAAAAATTGATTTAAAACTTTTTCAAAGGAATTGAGTTTTTGTAACAAACTCTGATTTTCTAATTTCAATATCGTTGCAACCCAATGTCGTAGACCTTTAATATTTCAAAGTATGAATGCTATTAGATCAAATAATGTAAGTTTGAAATATCAAAGGTTTACACCATCAGGTTACAGAGATATAGGTTTTACAAAAACTGAATTTGTGGCAAAGACTCAATTCCTTTATACGAAAATTCATATATATAGCATTTTTGTATAAATGTTGTAGTATTAAACAGATCATATTCAACAAATACGCAACCAATCTGGAAACGACGATATCCCACAGGAGCCTAAGAATCTCAGATTTGCTCATATTATAATTTTTTATTCTATTTTGCATTTTTAATAGATATAATTGATAATATAATTACATATAGTCCGTATAGTCCGTGTTACGTCACCAGAACTTCGGCCAATGGCCCGAATGGGAATGCAGTATCATTGTCACGTAATACAGACGGAAATCACGTGACCAGTAGCCTTGAGTTTACATAATCCAGCTAAAGAGCTGCCAAAAATTACACCCACCCCCCCTCTCTGCCCCTCTTTTCCATTCTTCCGAGGAGGGGGGGGGGGTTACTTAACTGCTCTCATTGATAACATCAGTAAACCTCTAAACGTTTCTTTAAAAAATCTAGACAAAGAGAATAAAAAAAAGATTCGACACTCGGCAGTATGTATGTAACAACACATAGAGAATAAAGAAATATAGAGTAACCATTTATTTTTTGAATGCGAAACCAATTTAAGATTAATTACAAAATATGCAAAAATAGAGTTGTATGCGTCTTTTGAGATCTAATAGCACACTTGCGTTGATAGTTTCTTTAAATGACAACTGTTTCTGTTGCATGTTTAATTGGCAAGTGCTTCTGTCGAATCTATAATTTGTTTAAATGGCAACTGCTTCTGTCGAATCTATAATTTGTTTAAATGGCAACTGCTTCTGTCGAATCTATAATTTGTTTAAATGGCAACTGCTTCTGTCAAATCTATAATTTGTTTAAATGGCAACTGCTTCTGTCGAATCTATAATTTATTTAAATGGCAACTGCTTCTGTCGAATCTATAATTTGTTTAAATGGCAACTGCTTCTGTCAAATCTATAATTTGTTTAAATGGCAACTGCTTCTGTCGAATCTATAATTTATTTAAATGGCAACTGCTTCTGTCGAATCTATAATTTGTTTAAATGGCAACTGCTTCTGTCGACTATTAATTTCTCCTCTAATATTCTAATCCTATCTGCGCAACAAAATAATATATCACAAAAGGTTGAATTCTCAAAAAAAAAAACGTTTAAGAATATTTGTAAAGAATGGCGTTGGAAACAAGGTTTCCGAGAGAGGAGAGATGAAGAGTGGAGGACACAAGAAGAGAAGATGGAGATTATAGAGAGAATATATAGAACCAAATACATATCAGTAGTCCTTGAACAGGCAGCCTGGCACTACGCTGTTTTCATTATATTTAAAGAATCCAATTGAACGCTAAAATATATTCTACTTTCAAAGATTTCAATTTTTATAGTTTTTTTAATTTCGTCTTTACACTATCAGTATTTATTGAAAGTTTTATTTACAACTTAAAACTGTTAAGGTTTTTAAAATGTCCTCAAAATCGAGCCCTAAATCTCCCTCCTCAAAGTCTGCTTTCAAGATTTTTCGTGGATTCTCGAGGAAGCATCGAAAGGTAAAAAATGCTGGATGAAAATGCCATCTTTTCTTGAACGTATAAGCGGGGATTTTTACTAATCAAAAATTTTTGACCTATCTCATTCTCATCCTAATTGAGATAATCTGGATAATATTTAGAACTATCTCATTCTCATCCTAATTGAGATAATTTGGTTGATATTTTGACCTATCTAATTCTCATCCTAATTGAGATAATTTGGATAATATTTTGACCTATTTCATTCTCATCCTAATTGAGATAATTTGGTTGATATTTTGACCTATCTCATTCTCATCCTAATTGAGATAATTTGGATGATATTTTGAATTTTTTTTCAAACTAATATTTTACGGAAAATTTAGTTACACAAAATTTCAATATATGTAATTTATTTTTTTTACAAAAAATAATATTTCTTGAAAATTTTTTTTGCTGTTTAATCCTTAGGCACAATTTTCATAATGAGGATGTGGAATTATTGGTTTTGCAACTTTTTCCTTTTATCCTATAGATTGTTTGGTTGAATGGATGTAAGGTTTATAAAACTGTCCAGCTAATCAGAAAGAAAAGATGTGATTCATTTGCATTAAAGGCATCGAAAGCACCCAAAAAAGTAATTCAAAATTTTATCTATACAAATTTATTGTATGCTTTCAAAAGATAGTATTAAGTATTTGATCGAAAAAAATGCAAGATTTCAATCAAAAAATCAAATTTACTTAAGCTTACGGTTGAATAATTCATATTGCATCATACTTTTAAAGAGTTGTAAAATTTAAAAAATTGAACTAAATAATAATGCGTAAACCAAAGCTTGGCCAAGTTTGGTTGCAATATATTAGATTCACGGTGTTGGGTACACCGTTTATATGAATTTCTACTTCTGTAAATCAAATAAGACAGATAGTTTGTAATGAAGTATTATGGGACTCATTAATTTATAAGTTTGTAATACTAATGTTGTCCATTGGTCTAAGACGCAAAAAACGAACACTTGCCTCAAGTTCAAATTTTCCAATCATTATAGCGTTGCAAACAAAAATCCTAATACTTCATATTTCAAACTTCATAATTATCTGTAAGATCAAGAGGTAAAAGATTGAAATATCAAAGGTTTAAACCACCATGTTGCAAAGATATAATGATATAGAATTGGAGGTAAGTGTTCAGTTCCTTTATAATCAACAATTGCGGAACATGTAAATATTTGGTCTTGAGAGTTTTTGATTGAAGGAATTGAGTCTTTGTCACAAATTCAGTTTTTGTACAATCTATATCTTTGCAACCTTTAATATTTCAAACTTACATTATTTGATCTAATAGCATTCATAGTTTGAAATGTTAAAGGTCTACGGCATTGGGTTGCAACGATATTGAAATTAGAAAATCAGAGTTTGTGGCAAACACTCAATTCCTTTACGGGGCAACTTGATAAACTTTCACTATCTGTCTGTTCGACTTTTTTTGCTAAAATTTGTCCTTCTCGAGTTTGTGTCAGGTTTAAAAATAAACAAGAATAAGTAAAAATCACAGTTAGAAGCATATATTGTTCCAAATGAAATGCAAGGTGCATGATCCTTGCCGGTACAACACGTACTGCAGTCCGTCGTACTGTCCAGTCAGGCTATCCAGTGTAGAGTCTACCCAGCACGTTTTATGCAACAAATGTAGCCTGACGAGATCACGTGGGTGGTTAGCTAGATATGGACAGTGGACATCCTTACACACTCTAGTTTTCTAATGAGCTTTGCAACCTGCTGATTTAACCTAAGTCTGCCCCCGGGGTTCCTACGGGTTTCCAAAAAAATGTCAGCCAATTTGGTCCAGCCGTTTGGCCGATTTTTAGCGAACGTATATGCTATATAAGGGAAGACCTTTATTTTTTACATTTACAAAGGAATTGAGTCTTTGGAACAAAATAAAATATTTAAACCACAATATCTTTAGAAACCGATGTTGGAAACTTTGATATTTCAAACTCAGATTATTTGATCTAATAGAATTCACAGTTTGAAATATCTAAGGTCTGCAACATTTGGTTCCAAAGATATAGTGATTAGAAAATTAGAAATTGTGGCAAATAATCAATTCCTTTTAAAGAAACCTGGTTTTGCGGTCTATAAAAAGTCACTTGCCTTGGAACAGATAAGAACATTTTTATTCCATGGATCGGGATGAGAGTAAAAATGCGACATAGAAATTCTCGCAAAATTTAACAAAAAACATTTTTATTTCAGGCGCTAAAAGTGTCTGTGCTAGGAGATCAGGGAGCTGGGAAATCAGGTTCAAATTTTCAATTATATTCAAACATTATTCAACAAAAGAATTGAGTCTTTGACTCAAACTCAAATGTATATCTTTGCAACCTGATTGTGTAGATCTTTCATATTTCAAACTTAGAATATTTGATCTAGGAGAATTCATAGTTTGAAATATCTAAGGTCAACCATATTGGGCTGAAAAGATATAGGAATAAGAAAATCAAAGTTTGTGGCAAAGACTCAAATCCTTTTTATCTGTAAACGTAAATATTAAATTGCCTGGTTATTATTTGAAGAAAGTTTTTGGAGCTAAATATGAATTTTAATATACTTTTCATTTAGCTTTCGTTGTTCGGTATCTAACCAGGCGATTTATAGGAGACTATTGTTCAAAGGTAAACATTGCATTATTCTAAGCTTTGATATTTATTATTTAACATTTAATAATAATTTATGTTCTCAGTGCACTTCTGTAAATATAAGATATTAAGTTTATTGATTTTTTAAAGTACTTTTTTACATTAACTTAAATATTTCGATTCATTTATATGTATATATATGTATATATATGTATATATATGTATATATATATGTATATATATGTATATATATGTATATATACATATATATATGTATATATATGTATAAATAAAGTAGTAATCTCTCTCTGCTTATCTGTATAGCTGTTTGTTTGTTTGTTTGTTTGGATGTCCGAACAGAATTTAGAAACCGATTTGCCTCAAATTTTGATTAGGGAATTCAGTAGAACCACAGAATCTAAGTTTAGTTGGTTCACTTTTAATCATAGGGAAAGTTTGGTATCCGTGCAAAGCTGGGTTCCCAAGAAAGTAATCTATATGTATAAAGTAGTAACCGCCACTGGTCCGATCTGCCTCAAACTTGTATTGGGGAACCTAGTAAAACTTAGTAGAGTGCTTTCAGCCTGGGTCCGAATTTAATGAATTTAACCTAGTCTTTAAGCCGCGTCTTAAATCCTCCAAAAACCGGTTTCAATTGAGTACCGGTTTAAATCTTGAAACATTGAATACAATGTTAAGTGAAACCAACCTTATTTGAGCGGTGGCTTAAATTTAAGCCGCCGCTCAAATTCCTTAAATTCGGTCTCTGGTTAAAAAATTCAAATTTATGTAGGTTGAATTTTATAGGGATAACTCCAGGCAAAGATGGGTTCCCAACCTAGTGAAATATAAATATACATTAAGTGTATAAAGTGAATTTTGATTATCGATTTGTCACATTATTTAAAATATATCTTTACATATATCATAAGATTTATAATTTATGAATCTTCTTCCATTTTGAATAGAAACTAAGCCCTTTCCTCAGCACAGTGACATAATAAAGAAATGCATCTTAGAATTTAAGCTCTATTTTGTACAGTTAAGCTCACATAGATTAAATCTTAAAGTAATAGAACTTAGGAGAAAGGGATGGGGTGATGTGCACACTTTATTCTGTGGCGCATTAGACCAACACAATAACATAGATTTTAAACAAGAATGAACATTTTCTGGAAAGGGATGAAGTCCAGTCCTAGAAGGGAATGCATGATTTATTTGCTGCTTAAGCCTAAATGTGTACGTTAAGCTTGATCTAACTTCACATGAACCAGAGAGTTTATAACAAGGCCCGGGCAATCACTGTTTATTTTCAAACTGATGTTTATTTACAACACATTCCACTTCTTAGCTGTTCCAAAACAGTACAGTTAAATATAATCAAACCCCCCTTTTCCTTAGATCTTTGTCAGCTCTTGTCAGATAAATGATCACGTGACGTTTCAAGGAAACAGAACAAAAATACAATCTGAAGAGAAATGAGATGTCTAAAGTTTTATTTAAATCTTCTTAAGAACGGAATTCAAGAAATTTCTTAAAATCTGAAAACCGTGACTTTCAAACCAGTATGGTTGGGTCGCCATGATAATTGATTTTAAAAATAAAATTCCTTAAAAGCTGTTCACATTAATTTAATTTTTGACGGTGAACGTGCAGGCTTCATTACAATAACTACATTCAAAAGATTTCTTTTCAAAATTTGACTTTCAAACCAGTAATGGTTTGGTTTCCATGAATAATGATAAATGATATTTAAAATAAAATTTTGCAAAAACTTTGGACGTGAATTTGATTAATTCTCAACGGTGAACGTGTAGGTTTCATTGCGAAAATGTGTGCAAAAAGATTGTACACATAAGGATCTTTTAAAACGGGTTTTCTACATTTCAATTTAATCTTAAAACTGAGGTAGACAGTACTGTCGTTATTACAAATCCATACCTCGCTAGTAGATAATTTTATTAATATATTGTTTATTTGTTAGATGGAGAATACATATCCACATACCTTGCTAGTAGATAATATTATTAATATATTGATTATTTGTTAGATGGAGAATACATATCTATTATCTATATACCTCGCTAGTAGATAATATTATTAATATATTGTTTATTTGTTAGATGGAGAATACATATCCACATACCTCGCTAGTAGATAATATTATTAATATATTGATTATTTGTTAGATGGAGAATACATATCCACATACCTCGCTAGTAGATAATATTATCACACCAATACTTGTCTGGGACACAATACAGAACAATCAGGTTAGGAGAAATTTCGCTTGTTTATCTCTCTTACTGCAAACTCTGATTTTCAAATTCCAATATCTTTGGAACCCAATGCCGTAGACCTTAGATATTTCAAACTATGAACTCTAGGGATTAGGAAACTTGAGTTTGTGACAAAGACTCAATTCCTTTGTTTGAAATTACTGGTATACGAACTACTGATCTTGCAGCTCCTCTAGTTTTAATTACTGGTATACGAACTACTGATCTTGCAGCTCCTTTAGTATTAATTTCACGCACTAATAATAAAATTTAACCGGTTTCATATTATAAATTCAACGCGTTTTTGTTCTCCTCAAAAACTCTTTAATAAGCGGAGTTATGATTTAAAAACATAAAGAATACAATTTACTTTAGTTTAACCTGCTTTAGTCGAGACAGCTTGATGTCGTTCTCTTTGATATTTCAAACTTTGATTATTTGTTCTAACAGAGTTTTACGTTTGAAATATCTAAAGTCTGTCTGACATTGGGTTGAAAAGATATTGGGATTCGAAAATCAGAGTTTGTGGCAAAGACTCAATTACTTTGTCATAACCCACTTTTTTGTCCCAGAGTGGGGTTAAGATTTGGGACATTATTATCGGTTTGGCTGACCATGTAACCGTTATAAACCAGAAATATTGGCAATTTGTATATTTATCATGATTCTAAATTCTAAAAAATAAAAGACAAAATTTGAAAATATGTTTTTCTATCTTTTTGCTGATACCTGGAGTTTACTTTGTTAAATTAATATGGTTGGAAGAAATTGTATACTCGTCAGCTTTCCTAAACTTCTACCAGATATTATTAATATATTTCTGTAATGCAAATCATTTAAGAATAACGAGCGAATATTAATATTAATAAATCATTTCTCGATAATATTTTTCAAACTGAGGATTCTTAATCAGTTCTAACTTCTGGACAACTTGGGTCACGTGAATTATAATTATATCTATAAATATTAATATTGGAAACATTTGAAAACATTGTTTGAACATTGTTTGAAGCTGTTTAGCATGATAAACCATTTTCTGATATTACATATTAATAAATCTACCTCCTATATGCTACATGATAAACCATTTTCTGATATTACATATTAATAAATAGTGGGGGTACGGGAATTGATAAACAGAACTTTATAAGTTTGTACATATTAATAAATAGTGGGGGTACGGGAATTGATAAACAGAACTTTATAAGTTTGCTATCTTGGTTCTCAGACATTTTATGCATTCATGATAAATATGTTATGTAGTGATTAAAAATCAATGTTTTCTATTTGTGCATAATTTTGCATATTTTTTCTCTTTTCTTTTGGAAACCTGTATTTTCAAAAAAAATTTATTTAAACAAATTTAAACTACACCATTTATATATGTATTTATATCTTTGTGTGTGAATAAATCTTCATAATAATAATAATATGCTACATGAATCCGTGTAGCACACAGGTGATACAAACAGTATTAACATGACGATTATTCCGAATCAGATATATTTGAAATTATCGTCCGCATAGCTTTGTGTAGCTTTTAGGGGGTAAATTTATTTAGAAATCGGTTAGAAGGGTTCCGCACTTAATATCCGAAAGTCTTCATTGGTTCTTAACAGCTGCAGAAAAAGTTCCGAAAGGCCTTTACCGAACCAAATTGATCCGGAAAAAAATGGAAAATTTTAAATAATAATTTTAAAGGATGAAATGCGAGATCGTCTGTACACAATAACCTCCTGGGCTGATGTCATCATCATTTTGTACTCAGTAACTGACATTCAATCTTACAATACATCTCTCTACATCTACAATACTATCCTATCCACAATGTCGTTGGTAAGTACTATCCTATCAACAATATCATTGGTAAGTACTATCCTATCCGCAATATGATAAGTATATTATCCTTTACACAATATCGTTGGTAAGTACTATCTTATCTGCAATATCATTAGTATACTATCCTATACACAATATCGTTGGTAAGTACTATCCTATCCACAATATCGTTGCTAAGTATTATCCTATCCACAATATCATTGGTAAGTACTATCCTATCCACAATATCATTGGTAAGTACTATCCTATCCACAATATAGTTGGTAAGTACTATCCTATCCGCAATATCGTTGACTCATCAAGGTTGTCTACAAAAAAAAACTTTTTAATGTTTGTTTGTAAGCGGTGTTACATTTAAAACATATTAATATTCGTTGGACACAAGTAACAGCTAACACTCACTTCAGAAAACGGAGATTTTCGAAAATTTACGGAACGACAATAACCGTTAATTTTTAAATCGTTAACGAAACGTCTTTATAAAAAAAATAACGGTAGAAAAGAAAACGAAATAGATGGGTTTATAAAAAACGGAAACTTTCTTTCTTTTTTTCGGCTAAAATTGAATAAAACTTGCTACAACAAAAGTTTGGTGATAGCCTGTGCCGTAAATCCAATTTGATAAACTGTTAACGATTTTTCTGATTTCTTAAAAGCTAATGCCGTTAATTGCAACAAACAACTGTTAACGGCAGATTATCTTCGCTTAACGCCGTTAATAAAATTGAGATCATTAACTAACGGTAACTTTAAAAAACCGTAAAATACCGTTAACGAAACAAACGTTCCAATTTTACCTTTAAAACTAACAGATACCTAAGATTTTCTGTTTTTAACGGTTGTAACTAACTTAACGGCTAGAAAAAGTTGGAACGTGCCCAGCTCTCACATTACGACAGATGTACTGGGTTTTAAAGCAGTTCAAGCGGGTTTTAAGAGATTTACACACGGAGTTCTTGATACAAGATGAACAGTCACAGGTTTAAATGTTCTTGTATAGTTCATCGTGTGTTTCCCTCTTGATATGGCGGGTCAATTGAAATTAATCTTACGATCCCTTTTATAAAGATTCTTTTTTAAATTAACGTACATTTTCCGTAAGAGAACGAAAAAGGTTGTTAAGTTATTAATATAAAATGAACGGTTATTTAATACTTTCCATTATAGACAGAAAAGAAGGTCAAATTCTTGCGAAATTACTGGTGCGATTTTGTGACCTTTCAGTTCCTCTAGTTTAGTTAAAGAACCAATTTTTAGATAATTTGGTCGTACATATTTGTCCGTATATCTATGTGTGTTGATAGAAACTGCGTTTTTCACTTTCTATTTCTGTAAAGTTGGCTTGTTGTCTTATTTTGTGTGACAAAGTTAATTGTTGTTGCTGGTCACTGCAGCTAATAATCTATAGTTTTTGTTTTCTTTCTACGTTGTAACATTTCAATCTTGTTTCATGAAGTACAAGGGGTGTGGGGAAGTACAAGTCATACATACTTATGTTGATTTTTTTGTACAGAGATATATTTCACACAATTGTTAGAAATAAAATTCAGAAATTCAGAAACATAATTTAAAATATAATTTAATTTAATATTTGAATTTTTTCAATGTTCATTTTGAAACATCAAAAAATTCTGCATTTTCCAATGTGCTATGCACACAAATGTATACACAATAGATTCTAAAATATTGGTTTACCTTTCTTATGTATTATTTAAGAAGTATACAATATTTTAGAGATACAAGTATTTAGTGTTTATCTCGCAGGAACTGGATCATTTCCCGGCCCCGATAATTCTGGTTGGAAACAAGAACGATCTTTGGCACCAGAGGCAGGTCGTCACAGATCTAGCATGTCAGGTATTTATATTTTATTTATATATGGCAGGTCATTATATACACCAAGCATGTCATGTATATCTATTCATATATGGCAGAATGATTTAGATATAGCATGTCAAGTTATAGAATGATATATTCATGTATGGCGGGTCGGGTAGATATAGCATGTCAGGTAAATTTTTTAAATATATCAGGACGTCACAGATCTAGCATGCAAGGTAATAATTATTGTTATATATCAGGTCGGTATATAGATATAGCATGTCAGGTAAATTTTTTAAATACATCAGGACGTCACAGATCTAGCATGCAAGGTATAATTATTGTTATATATCAGGTCGGTATATATCTGATTTTCTAATCCAAATATCTTTGTAATCCAATGTCGTAGACCTTAGATATTTCAAACTGTACATTTTGTTAGATTAATAATTTAAGTTTTAAATATTTAAAGGGACCGTTCACTTATTTGGGTAATTTCAGGGTAAACTAAACAGCCTATTCGCTGTTGATCTTATACTTTTCAAAAACAACTGTGGCCGGAGAAAAAGACGATTTTTCGTTTAGAATTTGAGCGGAAAGGGACGGTCTATAGTGTCTATAGAAAGGGACCGTCCCTTTCCGCTCAAATTCTGAACGAAAAAGCGGCTTTTTATCCGGCCACAGTTGTCTTTGAAAAGTAAGACTATATTACTGCATATCAACAGCGAATAGGCTGTTTAGTTTACCCTGAAATTACCCAAATAAGTGAACGGTCCCTTTAAGGTTTAAACCATCAGATTGCAAAGATATTGGAATTAGAACAACTGAGTCCGTGTAAAAGATTCAACTCCTTTATAAAAAACTTCTGAATGAAAAAAAAATAAAAAATCTGTATAGTTATTGAACGCTGCAGAAAAAATATAACTAGCATAAAAAATATGTATTATTGTAGGAAGCCAAGGATCTTGGATTCGCTAATTTTTTCGAGATTTCTGTAAAGGAGAGTCTGGACCAGGTACAATGATAATAATCAAATAACAAAATTAATAGTCAATTTTATTTCCAACGAAAAATGTTGAATAGAATTACATCTTAGAATTTTTAAAAAAGAATAAATCATTCAGTTTTAATTTAAATATAAATTTTTAAAAAATGAAGTTTAATGATCTTTTAAAAGTCAAAGTACGCAGAATCATGAATAAAAAGAAAATGAAGAAATATTTTATTAATCATTATTTATTATTTTGTATATTAACTAGGTGAGGATAGTGTTTGAAGAAGCGATTCGTCGTGGTGCTGTTACAAGGAGACAAAGGTATTAAAGATATTCACCACTGTCTAAAAGTTGTATGATCCGTGCCCAGCACGTTTTATGCAACTAATGTAGCCTTGCATGTTCGTAGTGTTATTTCAATATTAAATTTCAGCAAATTTTAAAATTTTAAAATGTACAATTTGCGTTGTTTATTTGATTCCGATTGTTTGTATGACATTGACAAAAAAATAATTTATGTATCAAAAGTTTTGCCTGACTATAAATATATAAATTAGGATATTGAAAATTTTCAAAATCTACAGAATAAAGAATATTTAGCGGAGCCTATGCCATCAATGTACATTTTTTTATTTCTAAATTTTATGTCGGGTTTTTTTTTAATTAGGGTCATTAAACCGTTTTCTCAGCGGTTCATTTAATTATCTACTGTTTGCTCTCACCATATGATGATTTAGTAAACGAACGAGAAGAGCGACCTGTAAGGAAGGATTATATTAAATACTTTTTTCCATTACATCTGATACTAAAAGTATCAGTAAACTGTACAAAATCGAGTTGAAATGTATTTTGTTTAGACAAGGGCATACAAGAGGAAAGGGTCTCCGTCAATCTATTTCCTCGGATTTTAACTTCTCCGAGGAAACTAGTCCGGAGTCAGAGGATGGTAGTCCAAAGGTCAGTAACTAGTCCGGCCGGAGTCGAAGGATGGTAGTACCAAGGTACTAGTAACTATTCCAGAGTCACAGGATGGTAGTCCAAAGGTCAGTAACTAGTCCAGATTCGGAGGATGGTAGTCCCAAAGTTAGTAACTAGTCCGGAGTCGAACGAAGGTAGTCCCAAGGTTAGTAACTAGTCCGAAGTCAGAGGATGGAAGTCCCAGTGTCAGTAACTAGTCCTGAGTTAGAGGGGGTAGTCCCAAGGCCAGTTACTAGTCCCAAGTCGGAGGATGGTAGTCCCAGAGTAAATAATTAGTTCGGAGTCAGAGAATGGTAGTCCCAAGGTCATTAACTAGTCCATAGTCGGAGGATGGTAGTCCCAAGGTCAGTAACAAGTCCAAAGATTGATGATGGTAGTCCTAAGGTCAGTAGCTAGTCTGGATTCTGAGGTCAGTTGGACTAAAACCATTTTTTATTTCTCTTAAGTTAGGTAATATTTTTGAAGGGTTACCCACAAGGGAGGAGACTTTAATAACGACCCAAAACTATAAAATTTAAACAATCTGACAACTGAGTTTTGGATTCTGTTTTTTAGTTTGAAAAAATATCTTTAAAAAATATTTTGCATTAAACTATCTTGAGCTAGGAATGTCCTGACTGTATCGGAACTAACCAATTAAAATCCTCCTAACAAAGTACAATGGACCATATAAAGTTTAAAATACCAAAAATCGATATTGTTCTTAATATTGTTCTTGATTGTTCTTGATATTGTTCTTGATATTTTTCTTGATATTGTTCTTATTGTATTTATGTAGAACATCCCAGTTCCTTCCAACATTCTGCAAACTATCAAGAAAAAACTAACAAGTAAGAAAATACATCATCATCTTAACGTGATAAAATTATATATTTTTCTTGTATAATACATACAGTATACAGCATATCCCACTAAATTACATAATTTTATTAAGTATCAATTGTCGTGTTGTCTTCTTCGACTTAAAAAAAATCTTATTTGACTGAACGATTTTCATAGGAATCTGTGAATATAGGACAGCTCTGATTACTACTATTGGTTGGGGATATATTATTGTTTGCTTCTGGTTTGTTACAAAAACAAGTGTTTATCCAGTGAAAATACATTTATATTTTACAGGGAAAGTAAAAAAAACAGTGCGCACTGTGCATACATAGGGGCTTGCAATATATTCAAAATATTAACCACAAATGTTAAAAATGTTCATGAAGTATTTTGTTTCTCGAGCCACATATACAGATGACTCTTTTCTGAAAATTATATTGAGAGATCTTAGATTTTAAATTATAATAAAATTGACTATTTAAGTTTAATTTTAGGTCCAAAGAGTTCTGTATCGTCTTCTCCCGTCCTAATACCCCAGGAATCAGAAAACACAAGTATGAATATTAAACAAGTTTGGCAACTGACTTTTAAATAAATAAATTCCGGAATTTATCATATTCAGAATTTTTCCCACGGGAAATGGAGTTCGTTTCTTGTATTTACGTTTTTTCGGAATTTGTCACGCTTAAATTTCGTTTACCTTAGTTTGTCTCTTCAAAATTTGTCCCTTTGGAGTTTGTCCCTTCCGGAATAAGATCACCATATATCCGAAATTTTATACCTCCGAAATTTGTCTCTCCGGATTCGTCTCTTAAAAATTTGTTTATTTTTGAATTTTTTTTTCGGAATTTGTCTTTCCAGAAATAGTTTATCTGGAGATTTCCCTCCGATCTTTTTTGTCATTTTGGAATTTGTTATTTGGCCGAATTTTTCTGAAAAATAATTTGCATTCTAATGCACCTAAGTTAGGTTCTTGAATATTCATGATAAAAGTTTAAAACAATTTTATTTTTTTTTGTAATTTTTTGCATTTCTTGATTATTTTCATTCATAGATTCAGTTCCTCGGAGCCGATCTTACACCTACTCTGGGAAATTCCAGCTTATCAAACGGTAATTCGTTCATTCATCCCATCATCCACCTATTCATTTATTTTTTCATCCTTTTATTTATTATTTTTTGTTCATTTTCCCCTCATAAATTCATGTTTGTAAAATTCATGAATTCCATATTTAATTGAATATTATTTATTTAGTTCTAGAAAGCTGTCTGTATTCGAGTCTTCAGCTGAAACTCCATAATTAAATAACCTACGAAGAACCAGTATTCTGGGTATACTTTCAAAACATAAAAAGACACTCAAGCATTGTTTTTGTATTGCGGTAATTAAGAACCGACATGTTTGGCGAGTTTGTGTATCAATGCGTTCTGTGTTCTATGTTTTCATGTGATGCTTTTTTGTACTTCTGTTTTTTATTTAGTCAAATCCAATATAAATACAGGGTGATTATTAATTTTGTACTGCTGTTTTTTATTTAGTCAAATCCAAAATAAAGACAGGGTGATTATTAATTTTGTACTACTGTTTTTTATTTAGTCAAATCCAATATAAAGACAGGGTGATTATTAATTTTGTACTACTGTTTTTTATTTAGTCAAATCCAATATAAATACAGGGTGATTATTAATTTTGTACTACTGTTTTTTATTTGGTCAAATCCAATATAAATACAGGGTGATTATTAATTTTGTACTACTGTTTTTTATTTAGTCAAATCCAATATAAAGACAGGGTGATTATTAATTTTGTACTACTGTTTTTTATTTAGTCAAATCCAATATAAATACAGGGTGATTATTAATTTTGTACTACTGTTTTTTATTTAGTCAAATCCAATATAAATACAGGGTGAATATTAATTTTGAAAAGTTTAAGTTCTGTTGACTTTAGCCAAGACTAAGCCAAGAAATCCTAAGATCTGTGGGCAAATATTTTCTCAGAAACTCAGAAACATTAACACAGAAATATCCTTCTACCAAAAATCTGTATGATCTGTTTTTACCAACTTTTGAAAACATTCTTTTTAATATTTAATATTTAATATTTTAATATTCAGAAAACTGAAGGCTTTCAAATTTTTCCGCATGAATGCCTATATCTATGATTGTAAATGATTTCAAATCAATATCCCCTGTTTATCTGTAATATAGGACTATGAAATATAAATTATTTTAATTTTAAATGTTTTGCATTTTTTCAATAAACTAATTTTTAATGTTATGTGCTCAGGTCTGAAACGCCTGTAATACTGTAATGTAATCAGATATTCTTGTAATAATATTTTGTCAATAAATTCTATTAATATAATTTCAAAATTTGGAAATTTTGACCAGTGTAAATATTCACAAACTGCAGCTTGTTGTTGTTGTTGTTGTTGTTGTTGTTGTTGTTGTTGTTGTTGGTGTCGTTGTTAAAATTGTTGTTGTTGTTGTTGTTGGTGGTGTCGTTGTTGTTGTTGTTGTTGTTGTTGTTGTTGTTGTTGGTGTCGTTTTTGTTGATGTTGTTGTAGTTGTTGTTGTTTTTTGTTTGTTGTTTTTGTTGTTTTTGTTGTTGTTGTTTTTATTGTTGTTGTTGTTTTTAATGTTCGCAGCTTCAAAGGGTTGAATACGATTTGTGAAAATATATCCATTTTTTGATAATTCTTAAGAAACTGCTTTTTCTTTTTATTTCTAGGTAAATTAATAGCACTGAAATATGAATGATAGCAATTTAAATATTATTCTCGTCTTCCGCGGCATTTGATCTTAAATATGTTAAGAATACGAAATTATTAAAAGTTTTGCTATGTTTTCATATATCTCCGATTCACTGTATAGCACCAAAAATGTCATAGAGGGTGGGCAACGAGATTATAGACTATGGAATGGGGCACTGGGGAGATACACAAAACGCTGGATTAAAAAAAACGACATTGTGCAAAAGCAGCAAGAATTTGAAATTTGTTAATTTTTAAGGACTTTTCACTGTCAGGTACATTAAAAATTAAAATTAAAAATCAATCTTTAAAATATGTATCCTCCTCGCAAAATTCTCAGTATTAAGATTTAATTTAAACTTATTATTTATGATTTTTCAAAAATTCTACAGCAAACTAATTCTCAAAATCATCTTGCCAGAATGGACAATCTCATTGGTCTTAATCAAATCATGAAAAATTTCTCTACTTTCAGCTCAACTACCATGACTACTAGCCAGATATTCCCTTTAAAGGACCGAAAATAACTATAACCTGATCACAGTGAAATCTCACGCAAAAATTAAAAAGAATTTTTCTTAACAAAAGCTAAAAACTATTGTATTAAAATTCAAAGATGTCTATGAGGGCTAAAATAAAATTGTAAGTGGGGAGTAAGTGAGGTAACACCACGTTGCGAAACTTCAAAGTCGACCCAGTCTTCAAAATTGCAGATGAAACTTGAAGTACAGTTTACACACATAAAGGTATCAAGATATCGATTACATAACCTACTTCTTTCAACACTATTGATAAAACTGCTCAAGAAACAAGAAACAATAAGATTATTAGAATACTTGCAAAATTAAATTGAAGTCAAATACAAAGCGAACATAAACAGCGAGACACTGGAATAAAAAGATGACTATTAAACTCAAGTTATGATTTTAATAAGTACAAAGAACTTGAAACGCGGCAATTGTGCATTTCACTTACTATAAGTTGATTTTTTAGTTACTTAAACCGGGGGAAAATATTTCCATCCAAACACTAAAATAAATGTCGTCTTCCTATTCCACCATTTTATGGGTCTCTGTAGTTGTATCCAAAAAACCTAATTCTTCTCTAGCAGACGAAATCTTCTACGGAGTACATTTTTCATTGTAGGCAACACCACACCAAATCAGAAATCATTTATAAAGACGACCTAAAAGTTGCCACTTAAAAGGACTGTAAGCATAATTTCAAGTGACCCTTCATGCTAAAAGAAATCACAACGGTTCCCTTGAAACCTTTATCTGATCGGTTTTCTAGGTTTAAAAATGCGGTAGAAATGTGCAAGTCACTTTTGTGGAGAAACCTCAATATAAAATAATCAGTTTTCAAACTTATAACCATTAATATCTAATTTATTCTAGATCATACAAATCTTTACAGGTTACCATGGCGAAATAAGCATTGCACTTTACAAGTAAACCGGAAAATAATTGAAAAAAAGCGAACGGGGCAAATAGATTTTAAAAATCTGCTAGGAAAGAAGATAATAAGAATGAAAAATAAAAATAATAATCATTACCTGCACAATATATTATTACTAATTAAGCTAATAAATTTTTCCCTATTAATGTTAATCCCCTATTATTAGAGTTCCTGGAAACGTTATAATATTATCTATATCAAGTTGTAATCTCTGTTTGTCTGTTTGTTTGTCCGATCATAACGCAGAATCCCCTGGACTGATTTGCCTCAAATTTTGATTAGGGAACTCGGGAGAGCCACGGTAACGTTCTTTGTTTGGTTTTGAGGTCATAGGTTGAGTAGGACGAAAATAAATTTAGTTTCCCAGTAAAAATCGACCAAGTGTGGGTAAACGGCTGCAGTAATTATGAGCATACTGGGCAAAGCTGGGTTCCCAAGCATGTATTACATACAACTTTATCATTTCAAGTATCATTGAAAGTGAATAAAAAATAGTAAAATTCTCAATATTTTTTAATAATATATTTGTATTAGTCAAATCGTAATTATATCACATATAGAATACAGATCCATGGTGAAATGCTATAATGTGTTTTCATTGATCGAGAATTCTTTTACAGAGAAATAATCTGAAAAATTAAATTCATATAATTTTTCGCATTGAACATTGGTAACTCAACACAATCTTCTGGAGTAAATATTTAAAGGCGTTCTTAGAATGAAAGTCAAAATAAAATCTCTCTAGCTTTCTATTTTTTAATGTTTACACGCTAAACAATTAAATGCTTTAGGCTAATCGGTATTTATTTTTTATAAATTCGTGTAAAAGTTGGAGAAAAAATATTGAAACACTCCCTTTAAGAACGATACACTTTACAAACCTGGATATTTATGATGATAGCCTTTATCAATTCTTCTTTAAACCTTTCTGACTCTAAAAACATGAACTAAAAATATTTTGTTGAAAATTATTATTTTGTTAAAAAGTGTATTTCTAAATGATAAATACTTATAAAGTTTCCTGAGTTATTTATTTTTAGTTAACCAAAGCATTCATTTTTATTTTTAGACGGATAAAAAATACATTTTTTAGGATCATTAATCAAAATTTTAATTTTAGTTAATGCTATAAAATACCTTAAACAGTATTGTTATAAATTCTTCATAGTTGATATTCCCGTCTCCATCGATATCCGCTTCATCTATCAGTTCCTAAACATAGACTTAATATAGACCTAAGACCTAGCACAGTCTAGAGGAGCTCCTGTAATCACAGACCTAATATAGACATAGCGTAGTCTAGAAGAGCTCCTGTAATCACAGACCTAATATAGACATAGCGTAGTCTAGAAGAGCTCCTGTAATCACAGACCTAATATAGACCTAGCGAAGTCTAGAAGAGCTCCTGTAATCATAGGCTTAATATAAACAATGCACTGTCTAGAGGAGCCCCTTAAATGCACACTTAAGATAGACCTAGCATTGTCTAGAGGAGCCCCTGTAATCACAGGCTTAATATAGACCCTGTAAAGTCTAGAGGAGCCCCAGTAATCACAAACTTAATATAGACCCTGTGCAGTCTAGAGGAGCCCCTGTAAATGCACACTTAAGATAGACCTAGCATTGTCTAGAGGAGCCCCTGTAATCACTGACTTAATATAGACCCTGTAAAGTCTAGAGGAGCCCCAGTAATCACAAACTTAATATAGACCCTGTACAGTCTAGAGGAGCCTCTGTAATCACAGACTTAATATAGACCTAGCACTATCTAGAGGAGCCCCTGTTATCACAGGCTTAAAATAGACCCTATACAGTCTAGAGTAGCCCTTGTAATCACATGCTTAATATAGACTTAGCACTGTCTGGAGAAACTCCTGTAATCACAGACCTAATATAGACCTAGCGTAGTTTAAAGGAGCCCCTGTAATCACAGACTTAATATAGACCTAGCACTGTCTAGAGGAGCCCCTGTAATCACAGGCTTAATATAGACCCAGCATTGTCTAGAGCAACCCCTGTTATCACAGACTTAATATAGACCCTGTACAGTCTGTAGGAGACCCTGCAATCACAGACCTATCACTTCTAGAGGAGATTCTGTAATCACAGACTTAAGATAGGCCCAGCACTGTCTAGAGGAGCTCCTGTAATCACAGACTTAAAATAGATCTAGCGCAGTCTAGAGAAGCTCCTGTAATCACAGACTTAATATAGACCTAGTGCAGTCTAGAGAAGCTTCTGTAATCACCGACTTAATATAGACCTAGCGCAGTCTAGAGAAGCTCATGTAATCACAGATTTAATACAAACCTAGCGCAGTTGCAAGACGTGTTGAAATTCGCACTTTCATGCATCATCATTCGTCGCAATTCTATCATTGCTAAGACAAAATGTTAAACATGTGTTCCCATCAGACCAGACGCATTTTGTTTCGGAAACCGAAATCGGTTTATACATTCGGGATTTAAACATCAAACAAAGATGAATAAGTAAAAACAAACTATATTATTTTGGTCAACTGAATAACAATTGAACAATTACATTTTGTTTGGCCAGGTGTTAAATTTTAGTATGTTAAAGTATCATTGAAAGCAGTTCATTCAAAAAATACAATTTGAGGATTTAAATGTTAAAGTAATTAGTACTTTTTCATGTAGTTCGTCTGGACTCATATTTAATCACTGCACTGGGTTTAATTTAAAGCAATATAAAAATTTTCTTTTTTTATAATTTTTACAATTTACAAATACCTCTGTCTCCTCTGGGCTTAAAGGATCTCCGATGGATTGCAAAACAGTCGCCATTTCTGAAAATGCAAATTATTTTAAACAATCTTTAGAAATAATTTATTTCTTTGAACTTATTTGTTGATATGGAATGAAGTTTATGCCTGTTCCTACAAATAAACAAAATATGGATCCATAGCAAGCCCTTAAAAAATAGATATTTCTGACAATATAGTTCAATTTATTAAATAAGCCAGCGACAGAATTTAATGAATTTAAGCTATGTCTCTGATCTCCCTTCTGCCGATTCAAATTTGAACCACTGACTCAAAGTTACAGAGTCAGCAAAGATTTGAATCGGTGATACAATTTTGAACCGGCGCACGTAAGGCATTTCCAAGACTCCTCAAATTTATTAAATTCGGTTCCCATGGATCATAAAAATAAAAGACATGAGGCAATGTTTTACATTTTAAATAATGAAAAAACGTTTGATGAAATTAACAAAGATTAAACATTAGAACAATTAAAACATTTTAAAAATAAACTTTCTATAAAATCTAATAATCATCCCAAAAAAATACTAAACAGTGCAATTATGAATGTTTATAAATATTGTTTAACCTTGAGAGGTCACAAACCCGTGTCCATCTTTATCAAAAACTCTAAAAGCTTCTCGAATTTCTTCTTCTAGTTCGGTATCGTGGAACTCCCTGAACAGAGTTTAATACAATAGGAGTAGAACTAAGGAGAGGATTATTTAATAATCTAATGAGAATATAACTAAGGAGAGAGGGATAATGATTGTCTATATTTAATAATCTAATGAGAATATAACTAAGGAGAGAGGAATAAGGGTTGTCTATAATTAACTGTAACGTATTAAAACAAACAATAGAAAATACTGTAGAAAGGGCCAGTTATTACTAAATAGGACAGGAGACCACGCACAAGCAATCATTGTTTACTTAATGTTGTTTATATCTATAAAGCTGTCCTGGTAGATCATGGTTTAAAAGTTCGCCAGATCTTTGCTTCTGGTGTGCCCAAGATATATATATTTAAGAATACCATCAACTTAATCGATATCTATTGCATAATTTAGAACATCTTGACAGAATAACAGGTTATAATGTTTATTTAAAAATTTTTGGAATTTCGGTCAAATACATATTTAATTCATTACTGAGAAAGAAATTGACCACTCTCCTCAACCTCTTTATTTACTAAGCCTAAATTTTTTGAACCTGAGCCGAAAACTTTAGAATGCTTGATCTCCTCTGTTTATTTATCTCAAGATTAATCTAGTCTTCATTTTGTTTTCTGGAAATTGTGTAAAATTCAACCAATAGAGTGGCGTATCCAAAGTTCTGATCAATGGTGCAGTCTAGCCAGGATATCCAGAAAGAGAGGATTAAGGAAAATATCAAAAGTGTCAACAGCGGATACATGATTTACTTATCGGGATTAAAGGTATTCAATGCTAAAGTTGTCAGCTCTATTATCTTAAATTTTTCACATTTTATATATTAGTTCGAATAGTCAAAAAGCTTGAAATAGTTATAAGTGCAGAAAATCGATAAACGAAATTGGGATGAATTTTATTCTTCAAATTGATTCTTAACTCATGATTGATTTTCTCTGACATTTCGTGCAGGTTTGCAAATTAAATATAATATTGAAAAACTATATTAGACAAAATTCAGAAGAAAGAATTTTTTATTTTCATTTTTGTCCTAACTATTAACTATGTAAATAATTAGCTTTTCAATTTTACACATCATAATGTATACAGTAAGGAGAACAAAGTAAACAATATACTATACAGTGTTTAAAATGTACCTCGTCATAAGCCAAACAAATTCATTAAAGGTAATTTGTCCATTTCCATCCTGGTCCACCACATTTATCATATCCTGCAGCAATATATTGGTCTACCACATTTATCACATCCTGCAGCAATATATTGGTCTACCACATTTATCATATCCTGCTACAATATCTTAGTCTACCACATTTATCATATCCTGCAACAATATATTAGTCTACCACATTTATCATATCCTGCTACAATACATTGGTCTACCCCATTTATCATATCCTGCTACAATATATTGGTCTACCACATTTATCATATCCTGCTACAATATATTGGTCTACCACATTTATCTTATCCTGCAATAAGCAAGTAAATGTATTTATAACCGCAGAATACAGTAACCAGGCAAAATTGTAGCATTTCTGGACATTATTACATTCTTTTGCACTTTCCATCTAGCATGGAAAATTGCCGTTACGCTAAAATTAAAATTATGCGTAATCGCTAACAATTGGTAATATTTCAGGCTTTAAAACTTAAAATGCGATTGGTTCAATTTCTAACCTTTTTTGTTCAACTAAAAAGTATTTTTGTAACTAACCAGTATTTTTGTACAACTAAACGGTATTTTTGTACAATTAAACGGTATTTTTGTACATATAAACAGTATTTTTGCAAATAACCAGTATTTTTGTACAACTAACCAGTTTTTTTGTACAACTAAACAGTATTTTTGTACAACTAAACAGTATTTTTGAACAACTAAACAGTATTTTTATACAACTAAACAGTATTTTTGTACAACTAAACGGTATTTTTGTACATCTAAACAGTATTTTTGCAACTAACCAGTATTTTTGTACAACTAAACATTATTTTTGTACAACTAAACAGTATTTTTGTACATCTAAACAGTATTTTTGTACAACTAAACAGTATTTTTGTACAACTAAACATTATTTTTGTACAACTAAACAGTATTTTGTGTAATACTTTTTCAACGGTGTTTAACATTTAAGTAGCTTTCAAGGCGTTTAGTAAAATATTTACATCACTTAATTTTAAAAGTCATTTTAATAAGAAAATAGAATAAATATTTTTTTGTTGATGTCATTGTTATTGTTGTTGTTCTTCTTGTTTTTGTTGTTATTTTTTGTTGTTGTTATTGTTGTTGTTGTTATTGTTCATTTTTTTGGCATTGTTATTGTTGTTGAGTTTATTCCTTTGGTTTTGTTGTGTTTTTGCTGTTATTGTTGTTACCCTGAGCTCCGCGTCTGTGGGATCCCATCCAAAAGTTCTCATCACCTCAAAAAAGAGATTGTATATTATTTAAAGGGAGTGACCGGCTATGTAAGGTAGTTGAACTGAGTACGCAGTGTTGTGGAAAACTTCTTTCGGATTCGTTTGAGACATATTAAACTTTTTAAAGATCTGTAAATCCTAAGTTTGAGCGCAAATTCGACGTTTAAAACTCCTACTTTGGGGGTGGATATGTTTTCAGATTTAGCTTTTTTTAAATTATTAAATAACGACGACATAACATGTAAAAAAAAATCTACAAAAAACTACAGACATGGCATGTATAAATAATAATAATAAATTCAAAAAAGATAAGAAATTCAATATAATAATGAAAACGAAATAATCGATTTAAGCATTGATTATTTGACAAATTACTTTTGAGATAGCCATCTAATTAGATTACTATTTACTGTATAATTTCTACATTATTTTTAGTTGCCGTTATTTAATAATTTAAGAAAAACTAATTCTGAAAACGTATCCACCCCCAAAGTAGGAGTTTTGAACGTCGAATTTGCGCTCAAAGTTAGGATTTAAAGATCTGTAAAAAGTTTAACATGTCTCAAATGAATCCGAAAGAAGTTTTTCACAACACTGCGTACTCAGTTCAACTACCTTACATAGCCGGTCACTCCCTTTAATGTTCGAGATGTTCATAATTTAAATTTGTCGTACCTTCATATTTTAACCCCTTAATACACATTAACTTTTTGCTTACTTTCGGGGTTTATTTTTCCAGGATTGATTTGTTTAGGGTGCATAACGTATATCATGATGGGTTGTTTAGGGTGCATAACGTATATCATGATGGTTTGTTTAGGGTGCATAAAGTATATCATGATGGTTTGTTTAGGGTGCATAACGTATATCATGATGGTTTCTTTAGGGTGCATAACGTATATCATGATGGTTTGTTTAGGGTGCATAACGTATATCATGATGGTTTGTTTAGGGTGCATAAAGTATATCATGATGGTTTGTTTAGGGTGCATAACGTATATCATGATGGTTTGTTTGGGGTACATAACGTATATCATGATGGGTTGTTTAAGGTGCATAACGTATATCATGATGGGTTGTTTAAGGTGCATAACGTATATCATGATGGGTTGTTTAGGGTGCATAACGTATATCATTATGGATTGTTTAGGGTGCATAACGTATATCATGATGGGTTGTTTAAGGTGCATAACGTATATCATGATGGTTTCTTTAGGGTGCATAACGTATATCATGATGGTTTGTTTAGGGTGCATAACGTATATCATGATGGTTTGTTTAGGGTGCATAACGTATATCATGATGGTTTGTTTAAGGTGCATAACGTATATCATGATGGTTTGTTTAAGGTGCATAACGTATATCATGATGGGTTGTTTAATGTGCATAACTTATATCATGATGGTTTGTTTAGGGTGCATAACGTATATCATGATGGATATTGAATAACAGATCAATGCTTCATTGTATTTATTCTGAAACATCACGGACAAAGATCATATATCAAAATAGTTGTTTGTGGGAACCAAATATCAGGTTTTTATTTACGAATTAGAACACATTTCTTACATTAACTATGACATTATAATGTTCATTAAAGAGTACATATAGCCTAGTGTCAAGTACAAAGTAACCCTTTATGTATAGAGCAAAATTTCCGATTACCAATGGTAGCCTTAAAAACTGATTTTACATGGTACCCTTAAAAACTGATTTTACATGGTAGCCTTAAAAACTGATTTTACATAGTACCCTTAAAAACTGATTTTACATGGTACCCTTAAAAACTGATTTTACATAGTACCCTTAAAAACTGATTTTACATAGTACCCTTAAAAACTGATTATTTACAATTGTGGTTTCTCTGCAATAGTGACTTGCGCATTTCTAATGTAAGAAAACAAGATAGGAAAAAGTTTGAAAAACAACTTCATCTTCTTCATTATTGCTAGTAAAGAGGATTCAAGTGTACCGTTGTGAGTCGAAGCATGCCCTTCTTTTAAGAAAGGTTCACAAGAAAATTACAAGTACAATCCCTTTCAAGATGTTTTATATATATCATAAGATAACATAAACTTATAAATACCTGGCCTAGCTCCAACACTGTAATAGATCCGCCTCCATCCCTAAATAAATAATTTGTTGTCAATCATATGGAACTCCTCATTTTTAAAATGTCATGAACGATAGGTTGCACAAAGGAAAGTTAATTGCAGCTGCATATACTCTGCGTACATATTGAAACCAGTTCTCTCTGGGCGGAATTTGTAAACATTAATAGAAGCATCAGTGTTCGTTTAGTATCCGAGGAAGTGAAAAGCATTAAATTTTGATAATTTTCATTATTTACATAATTCCTCTGACCAGAATATTTTATTGATTTGTTATGTGAAAGATGGATCCCATGTCAGGCTTCGACATCCATCTTGTGTTTACATTACCACCCAGAGACAGTACACTGCAGTACAAAAAAAATGCGTACACGTCTGAAATACCTTTCCTTGCATTAAAACCTTGGGTTGCACGATAGGTTGCACTGCAGGTTGCACTACAGTTTTTACGATTGGCTTCACGATAGGTTGCACAATAGGTAGCACAATAGGTTGCACGATAGGTTGCACGATAGGTTGCACGATAGGTTGCACGATATGTTGCACGATAGGTTGCACGATAGGTTGCACGATAGGTTGCACGATATGTTGCACGATAGGTTGCACGATAGGTTGCACGATAGGTTGCACGATATGTTGCAGGATAGGTTGCACGATAGGTTGCTTGATATGTTTTACACTTTAGCATACAATTCTTTGTCCCATACAAAATTTGGACCCAATCGGTTCAGCCGTTTTGACTTTTATGGTCAGACAAGCAAAGTATATTTATAGATTATATTATAATATATAGATTATATTATATTTATATATTATATTATATATGTTATATATAGATGATTGTATAAGCCTGATAAAATATGTAACCTGTCGAAGAATGAAAATATATCTTGATATTCTTTTAGCGTGTCTGCATGAAGGGTCTCAATCATCTGATCATGCAATATAAAAATATGTTTAAAGTGTCTGGGGCAAATTTCAAGTGTTCCTCCAGTTGTAGTTCGGAGTGTCTGATTCACAACCGTTGACTGATTAAGGATGTCTCACATGTCCTTATTAGTCTACTGAATTCAATGCTTTTAATTGATAAACACTTTGTTTGTAAACTGTAAGCTGAATTACATCTAAACAGACCTGCAAGCAACATTTTTTGAAAAACTACTTTATTCTACCTCAATGTTAATTATCTAGCTATTTTGCCTTTTTTTGAATTTAATTAAAAGCTTTAGTTCAGTTTACTTCAATGTTTTAAACCTTTAATAACCATAAAGCCATTATAGTAACCCACTTGTATTCCCACTTATAACGGTGACGAGCGTATTGAATTGTTTACCATTTTGCCAACTGTATCCCTATCCTGCTCTTCTTGATCATCTTCCATTTTATGAGAAACAAAACAATCTGAAAAAAGCACATTTAAAGCTTTTCTTTTTCTGCAAGTATAATGAAACTTATAATTTTCTGGTTTGTGAACCCAGCTTTGCCTGGAAGATAAACTCTCTCTTTTAAACAGAATCCACACAACTCATAATTTTGAAAACAAAGCTGAAAACTTTCCAGTTGTTCTACCAAGTTTCTCAATCAAAATGTGAGGCAAATCGGTCAAATGGTTCAAGAATTAAATTCGGACATACAAACAAGCAAAGAGACAGACAAACATTAATTACTACTTTAGTTTTTAGATAATAGTGGTTAGTTTTTGTATATTTTTGAAAGCTTATCAGAACAAAGGAATTGAGTATTTGCCACAAACTCAGATTTTCTAAGTATTTTTTCCACCTGATGGTGTAAACCTTTGATATTTCAAACTTGGATTCTATCATCTAACAGAATTCATCTATATATAAATTTGGCTTGTCTGTTTGGGTGTCTGTCTGTTTGTTTGTTTGTTTGTTTGTATCCAATAAACGTCAAAACGGCTGAACCGATCGGGCCCAAATTTTTTGTGGGACATCTAGGGGCCCCATGGAAGGTTTATGAAAAATAAAAATTTCAAATATTTGTCTCCATCAAAATTCGATCGTCGTTAAATTTTTAAAAATTTTGAAAATCCGCAAAATTTTTTTTGAAAATCCGCGAATTATTTTTGTTTTGTTTTACGATGTACACAAAGAGAACATGTTCACAACTAATTTAGAAGATGGGCGCGAAGCGCCCTCTAAGGCTAGAAATAAGGGCGCGAAGCGCCTTGAATTTCTGGTGTAATAAATCTAGGTCCTGAGATTACGCTACTCAAAGTCTAATTACAGTCTCACTGACTCTATCTCTAGCCAAACTCAAGGCTCTCAATCTCTAGCCAAAACTCAAGGCTCTGTATACGTCCGTATAACACAAAGGTTCATGTAGTACTAATTTATTTTATATACAGGTGAAATTAAAACTGACGGGACTAGCCGGACAGGGTCAACATAAAAATAGATAAGATATATTACTAGCATGGATAATATAGATCGTACTAAGCATTACTACAGAATATGCTACATATATAATTTGAAATCTTTAAGGTCTACGACATTGGGTCGCAAAGATATAAAGATTAGAAAATTATAGTTTGTGACAAAGACTCAATTCCTTTTGAACATTTCGAATGACTTTGAAAGTTTCTGTATAGAGTGGAAGTTTTTAACATGTAATTTAAACAATGCGTAGTTGAGTTTTAGAAGAGTATATTCTACGCATTTTGTTTGTTTTACGCAGTTGAAGAAATGTCTCAGAATGCATTTATAAGCTTAAAAGTTCTGAAAGCAACTTAACCAATATAAGAACAAACAAAAATTCTCCAAAAAGTATTTTTCTTTGTCATTATTATCAGTTTGTTTTAAATCTTTTCTTTAACCTTTTAAAGGATTTAAAAAAAAAGATTTTATTCAGAAACATTTGAAGACAAAATAAAAAAAAACTTATTAGGTTGATATCGTGCAATTCTTTAAAAAGAGCGATAAATAAATCAATGATTTCATGATAACTGTTTAACAATCACTCTAGTTTTTAACTAGGTTTTAAAGTAAATCTGTGAAACAGAGATTCTAGAAAAGTAGGGTTACAAAAATGGCGTGTACAGTCTTTATCCCGTTAAGACGATATATCGATCTAATATTCTTTAAATTGTTCTCTGTAATGTTATAGTCACTACATAGGTTTCTATAGACTTAAAATAAAAATAAGAAATAAGAAAGAGTGAGACTGGCATTAAAGGGACTGTAAGCAAAATTTCAAGTGACCATCCATGCAAAGATATAAATGCCCGACTAACAAATGTACCCTTTACAAGCTTTGCCGATAGCAAGCATAAATTATATATCAATGTTTATGTTTCTTTTAACTGTTTCTTTTCATTTGCGGTTTTGCGCATTTCTTGTTTATAAGAAGCAATAGTGACTGATCTAAGTTGTTGGATGACTAGTTCTGTTTATTGTATAGTGTAGACAGATCTAAGTTGTTGAATGACTAGTTCTGTTTATTGTATAATGTAGACTGATCAAGTTGTTGAATGACTAGTTCTGTTTATTGTATATTGTAGACTGATCTAAATTGTTGAATGACTAGTTCTGTTTATTGTATAATGTTGACTGATCTAAGTTGTTGAATGACTAGTTCTGTTTATTGTATAATGTAGACTGATCTAAGTTGTTGAATGACTAGTTCTGTTTATTGTATATTGTAGACTGATCTAAGTTGTTGAATGACTAGTTCTGTTTATTGTATAATGTAGACTGATCTAAGTGGTTGGATGGTTAGTTCTGTTTATTGTATATTGTAGACTGATCTAAGTTGTTGAATGACTAGTTCTGTTTTTTGTATAATGTAGACTGATCTAAGTTGTTGAATGACTAGTTCTGTTTATTGTATATTGTAGACTGATCAAAGTTGTTGAATGACTAGTTCTGTTTATTGTATAATGTAGACTGATATAAATTGTTGAATGACTAGTTCTGTTTATTGTATAATGTTGACTGATCTAAGTTGTTGAATGACTAGTTCTGTTTATTGAATAATGTTGACTGATCTAACTTGCTGAATGACTAGTTCTGTTTATTGTATATTGTAGACTGATCTAAGTTGTTGAATGACTAGTTCTGTTTATTGTATAATGTAGACTGATATAAGTTGTTGAATGACTAGTTCTGTTTATTGTATAATGTAGACTGATATAAGTTGTTGAATGACTAGTTCTGTTTATTGTATAATGTAGACTGATCTAAGTTGTTGAATGACTAGTTCTGTTTATTGTATAATGTAGACTGATATAAGTTGTTGAATGACTAGTTCTGTTTATTGTATAATGTAGACTGATATAAGTTGTTGAATGACTAGTTCTGTTTATTGTATAATGTAGACTGATCTAAGTTTGACTGCTGGTAAATGTTTCGTGTGAGAAAACTGTAGAAAACAGAGTATATTGAACTAGGATGGTAAAACTACAGTAGAGATTGGAATACTAGGATGGAAATGTCAGGAAACATTTAGCTGATAGATAGATAGATAGATAGATAGATAGATAGATAGATAGATAGATAGATAGATAGATAGATAGATAGATAGATAGATAGACAGATAGATAGATAGATAGATAGATAGATAGATAGATAGATAGATAGATAGATAGATAGATAGATAGATAGATTGATATATAGATAGATAGATAGATAGAAACTTGGATGGTTTTCAGGTTTAAAACCAAAGTATTAATAAATGCATAATAACTGTAGCTACATTGATTATAAGAAACAAATACTTTTGTTATTTATCACTCTTCGCTAAACCCAACTTTACTTTCGGGCAGAGTACTGAGAATTATACTGCATGGCAACGAAAGCTTTATATTTTGGTGTGATACACTAAAGAAATTCTTTCAGAAGATGAAAAACAAAATCTGGATTTCTGACATTTGAGAAGTTAAAGCTATTGAAATTTTATGGTTTCTAAGACGTTGTCTTAAATAAATGAATATATTCTTAAATCCTTAAACAAAAACTGGGTCTGCTTTATTTTGTATTGCACTTTATTGTATTGTATTGTATTGTATTGTATTGTATTGTATTGTATTGTATTGTATTGTTTTGTATTGTATTGTATTGTATTGTATTGTATTGTATTATATTGTATTGTATTGTATTGTATTGTATTGCATTGTATCGTATTGTATTGTATCGTATTGTATTGTATTGTATTGTATTGTATTGTATTGTATTGTATTGTATTGTATTGTATTGTTTTGTATTGTATTGTATTGCATTGTATTGCATTGTATTGTATTGTATTGTATCGTATTGTATTGTATTGTATTGTATTGTAATGTATTGTATCGTATTGTATTGTATTGTATTGTATTGTAATGTATTGTATTGTATTGCAGTATATTTCCTTACATTTTGTTCTGAAGTCGATTTGCTGCTCAAGTCTAAATATAGAACTAGCGCGCAATATTGAATTAAAGTAAGACATGGTTTTTTAATATGATAAATACGTAGAACCTGAGCATGAATACATGATGAAGTTTATTTTTAGAAATCTTCATCAATAATTAATTGATTTTTTGACTGAGTAAAAATTATTTCGTTAAGTTTCATTTATCAACTATGACCGAAGAAAATTTGATATATCAAAAATGACCGAAGAAAGTTCGATTTATCAAATATGACTGAAGAAAGTTCGATTTATCAAAAATAATCGAAGAAAGTTCGATTTATCAAATATGACCGAAGAAAGTTCGAATTATCAAATATAATCGAAGAAAGTTCTATTTATCAAATATGACCGAAGAAAGTTCGATTTATCTAATATAATCGAAGAAAGTTCGATTTATCAAATATGACCGAAGAAAGTTCGATTTATCAAATATGGCCGAAGAAAGTTCGATTTATCAAATATGACCGAAGAATGTTCGATTTATTAAATATGGCCGAAGAAAGTTCGATTTATCAAATACGACCGAAGAAATTTTGATTTATCAAATATGGCCAAAGAAAGTTCGATTTATCAAATATGGCCGAAGAAAGTTCGATTTATCAAATATAATCGAAGAAAGTTCGATTTATCAAATATGACCAAAGAAAGTTCGATTTATTCAATATAATCGAAGAAAGTTTGATTTATCAAATATGACTTCTTAGACGTTGTTTTAAATAAATGAATATATTCTTAAATCCTTAAACAAAAACTGGGTCTGCTTTATTTTGTATTGCACTTTATTGTATCGTATTGTATTGTATTGTATTGTATTGTAATGTATTGTATCGTATTGTATTGTATTGTATTGTATTGTAATGTATTGTATTGTATTGCAGTATATTTCCTTACATTTTGTTCTGAAGTCGATTTGCTGATCTAGTCTAAACATAGAACTAATGCGCAATATTGAATGACATGGTTTTTTAATATGATAAATACGTGGAACCTTGGCATGAATACATGATGAAGTTTATTTTAAGAAATCTTCATCAATAATTAATTGATTTTTTGACTGAGTGAAAATAATTTCGTTAAGTTTGATTTATCAAATATGACCGAAGAAATTTTGATATATCAAATATGACCAAAGAAAGTTCGATTTATCAAAAATGACCGAAGAAAGTTCGATTTATCAAATACGACCGAAGACTGTTAGATTTATCAAATTTAATCGAAGAAAGTTCGATTTATCAAATATGACCGAAAAAAGTTCGATCTATTAACTATGACTGAAGACATTTGACGCGTCTTTCGAAAAATCTAAAAGAATTTCAAGTTAAAATATGACGGTGACAGTGCTTCCGTTTCCTCTTATTGTCTGAATACACAGAATATGTCCTACAAAACACAGCCGAAATTAAGATCGTCTTTGATCACAGAAATAACTTTATTGCATTCATTCTTCCAAATAATTCTACAAGTAAATTTAGTTGAACCAACAGTCACATACCCTTAGTATTGGTATTTCCAAAATGTGGTCTGACATTTTTGTGCTTTCAAAATTACCGGAGATATAATGAACTTTCTTCAGAATTAGACAAGCTTTATTCTTAATAAATTAAAATCTGAAATTTCTGGTTTAAAGGGACAGACCGGCTATGTCAGGTATTTAAACTGAGTATGCAGTGTTGTGGACAAATTCTTTAGGATTAATTTGAGACATATAAAACGTTTCAACGATGTATAATTACTGAGTTTGAGCGCAAAGTACACGTGCAAAATCATGAATTTGGGTGGGTACGTTTTCAGAATCGGTTTTTTTAAATTATTAAATAACGACGACGAAAAATATAGTAAAAATTCTATAGTAAATAAATTAGATGTTTAGGAACATATTTCTCAAAAAAAATTTGTCAATAAATCGAAGTTAGAATCACTTATTTCCTTTTTCATCATGATATTGAATTTCTTCTTTTTCAATAAAAATTCAAGAAAATCTGCAGAAAATGTTCGTGATTAAAGAGAGAGTATAGAAACTAATAATTAAATAAGATTACTTATTTCGAAGATAAGAGTTAATTTTATTTTCTCAACCTGTTCCTAAACAACTAGTTTACTGTAGAATTTTGTTATCATTTTTTCTCGTCGTTATTTAATAATTAAAAAGAAAATAATTCTGAAAACGTACGATTTTGAACGTAGACTTTTCGCTCAAACTTAGAATTTACAGATCTTTGAAATGTTTTATTTATGTCTCAAATGAATCCTAAAGTATTTGTTCTCAACACTGCATACTCAGTTAAAATACCTTACATAGCCGGACTACCCCTTTGCTTTGGCATTGGATTCTATAAAATCTTATATCAAATTGATAAAATCTGATATCAAATTGATAAACAAATTGATAAAATCTGATATCAAATTGATAAAATCTGATATCAAATTGATAAAGTCTGATATCAAAAATTGATAAAATCTGATATCAAATTGATAAAGTCTGATATCAAATTGATAAAGTCTGATGTCAAATTGATAAAGTTTGATATCAAATTGATAAAGTCTGATATCAAATTGATAAAATCTGATATCAAATTGATAAAGTCTGATATCAAATTGATAAAATCTGATATCAAATTGATAAAATCTTATCAAACTTAACTATAATTAAATATTCAAAATGTAAGAAGCTCTCTAGTCTCTAATCTGTAGAGTATACACATTGAGGTTTAATAAAATCAGATAAATTATGAAATAATTAAGGCAAGTCTTCTATAAAAACTTCTCTTTAATGACTCCAATGAGAAATATTTCTTCTCAACTTGAAAGTTCAAGAATTGTTCAAGTATGCGCCTGCGCAAACAATGGGTCAAAAAAATTATTTAATTATTTTTAGCAACCCCCCCCCCCTCTCATCCCCCTCTTTCATTGACAGGATATATTAAACTTGCATATATTGAAAACAAATTTCAAAAGGTCCTTGTTCACTTTTTGTTCGATTATATTTTGTAAGTGTCTCCTATAAAAACTCCAACATTGATAAGATATGCAAATACTAATCATATAACTGCATGAGAATTGAGAATCAACATATTTTAAATTATATTGGAAAAATATAGTTATTAACGTTATACATTTTATTACATTACATTATACATTTTAATGTAATATTAGTTTTCTAATTACTTTGCATTGTTCATATGAAAAAAAGACATCTTTTATCAAATCTGTGCACTGTTTTTACTGTTTTTAAAGGATAACATTTTTATTAGTTTGTAATATTTCTATATGTCGTTCTTGTTTATGATTATAAAGAAAATATACTGGTGAAAAATCAAGAATTCTATTTATCCAGACAGAGAAAGATTTTATCCAAAAAAAGGGGAACTGTTGTCAATTTTCCATTTTAAGTTTTTTTTGTTTGTATGAAGATTACAATCTGTTTAACTATCTCTCTGCAAGCTTGAAATTTTCTCTTGAAATATTTTAATCTGTGATCTTGAATCCTCAACAGCCAACTCCAAGCAAAACAAACTTTATTATTAAAAACAAGAAAAAAGAAATGCTTTCGAAAAAAGAGGCAAAATTTTAGGTTCAGAGGTTCAAGTTAAATTTTTGAATTTTTTTATCCTCTTTTTTAGAGGAGGCCGGGGGAGGCCGGGCGGTCTTATTAGAGGCCAGGGGTTAAAAAAATTTAACGGTAGCATTTATTTGTCACCTATTTTAAACATATCCCAAAAGATCCAGAAAAAAACAATGATGTAAAGTTTGTTTTTCCTGAATAGTATCTTCTAGCTTAGTGTTTAGATTCTCTTTAACCAGCTTTAATTCCTTCCTCAGGGATTGAGCGGTCTCCTAAATATTGGGTTTTAACTAATCTTTAACCAAAACAAATGTTTAAAAATTAGTTTTTTTAACACAAGGGGCGTAAATTTTTATAATTTCATGATTTCATTACTATCATTTAAAGACCCTTTCCTGTAAAAAAAAATTGTTTTCTTTTTGTCTCAGCAGAACCAACTAATAATAGAATTAATATAATAATAACAATATATTTTTTTAAATCTAAAATCTAGATGTCAATACATCCTCCGATTGAAAAAAAGTTATGAATCACAATCAAATTTAAACACTTCTATGTAAGTTCTTAATAAAAAGGTTTTATTTTCAAAATAAAGTAACAATGATTTAAGATAAGAAAACAAATATTTTTTGAACAAACATCTGATGAATTCTGCTGGATAATCTGTTGGAATTTCACCCCCAGAAGCACAAAAGTAAAATCATCAAACACACTTTAAAGAATATCTGTACAGGGATCAGTAACGTTTCCTATAGTACATTTTCGTATAGGTAACATTTTGCATAAATAACATTTGGTATAGTTAACATTTGGTATAGTTAACATTTGGTATAGTTAACATTTGGTATAGTTAACATTTGGTCTAGGTAACATTTTGCATAGATAACATTTGGTATAGTTAACATTTGGTATGGTTAACATTTGGTGTAGGTAACATTTGGTAGAGGTAATATTTCGTCTACGTAACATTTTGCATAGATCACATTTGGTATAGTTAACATTTGGTAAAGGTAACATTTGGTATAGGTAAAATTAATGTACAAAAATGCACTATACAAAATGTTACTGATCCCTGTACAGTGTAAACAACTAAATACTTTAACTACATGCTGAAATAAAAGAAGTAAACCTCCAAAATATTTATTCTTCAAATAAGAGAGGAATAAAAAGATAGAAAATGAGAAATATATCCTGCCAGGATTATACTGTCCGTGTGTGTAATGATAACGAGATGAAATAAGAAACATGCTGAGTGAAGCAATATTCGTATAATACATCACTTAGGTTCAGTTATTTCATTTCTTATATTATAATCTGTGAGATACATGCAAATAAAATCAGGAATTAGGATTCAGATTCATGGAATAAGGGTTTAGGATTCAGGATACAGGATCATGGAATAAAGATTTAGGATTCAGGAGACAGGATCATGCAAATAAGGAATTAGGATTCAGGACACACGATCATTGAATAAGGATTTAGGATTCTGGACACAGGATCATAGAACAAGGATTTAGGATTCAGGACACAGTATCATGGAATAATGATTTAGGATTCAGGAGACAGGATCATGCAAATAAGGATTTAGGATTCAGGAGACAGGATCATGGAATAAGGATTTAGGATTCAGGAGACAGGATCATGGAATAAGGACTTAGGATTCAGGACACAGGATCATTGATTAATGAATTATGATTCAGGAGACAAAATCATTGAATAAGGATTCAGGATTCAGGAGACAGGATCATGGAATAAGGATTTAGGATTCAGGATACAGGAGATATTCATAATTCAGAATCCAAGATTTAGGATTAAGGATTCAGGATTCTGTGTTGTGTGGTATGAAACCAACCTCATGTTTAGATCTAAATTCAACTGCTGTGGTTTGAAGAGATTTCTCTAGACTACTATGCTTCTCCTTGAACAGAGTTTGCAGTTCCAGGTGTTGATCTCCAAACTGAAATATTCAAGATCAAGGATGATGGACGATGGTTTTGATCTCCAAACTGAAATATTCAAGATCAAGGATGATGGACGATGGTGTTGATCTCCAAACTGAAATATTCAAGTTCAAGGATGATGGACGATGGTGTTGATCTCCAAACTGAAATATTCAAGTTCAAGGATGATGGACGTTGGTGTTGATCTCCAAACTAAAATATTCAAGATCAAGGATGATGGACAATAGTGTTGATCTCCAAACTGAAATATTCAAGATCAAGGATGATGGACGATGGTGTTGATCTCCAAAATAATCCTGGATGCAATGTTTCGGAGATGATTTTATTGTTTCTGACACTAACACGACCTATTTTGATCTCTAAGGGAGTGTTCGCGAAAAAATGAAAGGGGGTATAGGCTTAAATCGAAAAGTATGCGATGGTGATCGCTTCTATCTGTTGCGTCTATAAGGAGAGAATTGTTAAAAACGACTCATCTTGAAGAACGCTGTAGCCTGTAGCGTCCATAAAAAATCAGACAGTAGCAATTTTCGACTCAGATCGTAAATAATTCAATTTAATTTCAAACAAATCATTCATACATTACAACCTATAATCATCGAATTATATTCGACTCATTTGTGTATAGTTGATACCTCATAATATTTTACAATGCATTTTAAACGATGATTTTTGTCCACTAGGTGTCTCTCCAACTTGGAAGCAATGCAGAAATATCGAGAGCATGGACACCTGGTGGCCAACTAATCGTCATTCAGGATGAGACTGTAAAGACAACCTTAAACCCTCATAATATTACGATCCCAAGATTTAATTAAGTTTTCCCATAAATTAAAAAAAATTGATTTAATCAAAAATCAAAGCGGCTGTTTTATTAAAGATTTAAAAATCTATCAAGTTTGCCTTATCCGGAAAAGAAGAGACCATCCCCCCGTGCCCCCCTTCTTCCCCTTTCATTTCATGGCAACCCTATTAGTTAATTGCTTTTTTCTTAGGGGGGGAGGGATACTTTAAAGGTACACGATGTACACAGTACAAGTGTAACAACATTAAATTATTATTTTGTTTATATTAATTATATTTTTATTTAGGGGGCAGGGAAGAACTTGTTTTGTGCCTGGAACCCTAGGACATATAGGTTTACGTTCCCGCAGAAAATTATGGCTATTGATGTGTGTCAACGTTTTACCCCTGAAAATCATGAATCATTATGATTATAGAAACACTTACTCTTATGCCTTTTTCTATTTTTTATTCATTCTTTTTCTTCAGACTACCCATTAAACACAGATATACTGACCACACGAGAAAAAAATGAATTAATTAGCCACCAATGACAATAAATTTACTCGATGTAATTTGTGTTGTCTCACAACCTATAATCATCGAATTATATTCGACACATTCCTATATAGTTGATACTTCGAAATATTTTTTATTTGTTATATATACAATGCACTTTTAACGACGATTTTTTGTCCACTAAGTGTCTCTCCCACGTGGAACCATGCAAAAACATCGAGAGCAAAGACACCTGGTGGCCAACTATAATCGTCGTTTAAATTGCATCATATATAATACTAATAAAATATATTATGAAATATCAACTAGATAAGAATGCGTCAAATAAAATTCGATGAGTATATAGGTTGTAATATCAGAATGATTTGTTCGGAATTAAATTGATTTTTTACGATCTAAGACGAATATTGCAACTTTCTGATTTTGTGTGGACGCTACGTTCTTCCCTGGTACATTCAAGTTCATTCCATGTAACGGACCGAATTTCAACTAGCCAGGCCAAGCAGTACTGTACAAATACAGACTATTTGACTTTGAGGCAAAACGGAACGGTACGCCAAATCCTCTTCTAGTAAAATTTATGTGCTTTGGTATGAGTCGTTTTTAACAACTTTCTTCTTATGTACACAACAGATAGAAGTAAAATTAGAAGTCGTCACCATAGTATTTTTTGACGTAAGCTTATACCCCCTTTAATTTTTCGCGAACACTCCTTTTAACACACAACAACTAAAACGTGATTTGATACAGAACAACACTTTATTGATTTTAGGTGTTGACCTCCTAAGGGAAATCCTATCTTGAGGCCAACAGTGTCTTTGCAAGATTTGCAACGATATCCTTTCATCCGCATTATTTTATAATGTTTAAACCAGCGAAGACGACGTTTTATTCGAGAACGGGTTTTTTATTCACTTTTGAGAAACCTTGGTGATATATAAGAATATTGCTATTTTTATTGAATTTTACGTACTTTCTTTGAAACTATCCATTTCAAATATTGTTAAAAATTGTTTAAAAAACGGCCCTTTTAATCAAAGTTAATATAGTTATTTACTCTTTATTTTGAATATTATAAAAATTATTGTTATACTTTTCTTTTCCATTTGGTAGAACAAAGTCGTCGTTAGAAGATTATTTTAATAAAACATATTTCACAGTTTCCTTTATTAGAACTTTATTATTTCATTTGAAATTTACCAAATCTGTTTACAAGGAGGGAGTATTTTATATTTTAGAAAATGAAAAAATTGTATTTTCTTATTTTGTTAACGTTTCTTTTGAATTCTTCAAGTATATATAGAATACTGAATTGGGATGGAAACTCTTAAACATTGCTTAATTTTCAATTTTTTATTCTTTTCAAGGTTTGCAAACTGCACAATTTAACCTTGTTATCCAGATCTTGTAGTCGTTGATTAATCAATTCTGTTTCTTTCTTCAAATCACTAAAAAAGACTCTTTTTAGGAGTTGTAACATATTGTAAACAAAAACAAACTAGTTTATGAAAACTATTAACAAAACAAACTAGTTTATGAAAATTATTAACAAGAACAAACTAGTTTATGAAAACTATTAACAAAAACAAACTAGTTTATGAAAACTATTAACAAGAACAAACTAGTTTATGAAAACTATTAACAAAAACAAACTAGTTTATGAAAACTATTAACAAAAACAAACTAGTTTATGAAAACTATTAACAAAAACAAACTATTTTATGAAAACCATTAACAAAAACAGACTAGTTTATGAAAAGCAAACTGAGTTCGTAATTTTTTAATAAGGAGTAAGAGTTAAACTAGCTACGCCTAGTTTAACTGTTTCTCTACAATTTCTCAGGCTTCAAATTTTGCAGTACGAGGTAGTTGTACAGAGTCTAAAACTAAAGAATACGCGAATTTTAAGTTCGAGGTTAAAAGTTCTGTAAAATAATGAGTAGCTACTTAAATATTAAGCTTTCTTAATTTAAAATTTGAATTTCCCTAGAAAATTCTGAACCAATCAGAGAAAAGGATTTACGGAGAATTATTACGTAACTATCGGTAATCAGCTGTTTTTTAAATTTCAAATTATTTACGTGACGGAAAACAAAACATATTTCCAGTTACAACCATATTTTGGGTTTACATGCAAACATTTATTAATCTAAAACGTGAAATTTATTAAATCAAGGTTTTTACTTTTAAATATATCGTAATTAGTTGAATGCCGCTTACTCAGCTGAATGATGATAGACTAATAGGGATTGCGGGATTTCAAGATTTTAACCCTGTGTTAAATTTTAACTCGTCGATTTCGGCGAGTTAAATATTTAACCACAGGATTAAATATTTAACCTCACGGTTAAAGTTCAGGTTTAAATTAAGTCAGAAGTGGCATTTAACCATGAACTTAAAATTTAAGTCAAAACTTTTCGTTCTATAGTTTTAGACTCAGGTCGTAACAAGTTGAACTATTTCTGTCAGGTTCATAAATTCTGACCTCTGCACACATTTAAAATTTCTAAACTCGTATAACATTAAAAAGTTATTTTCTAACAAAAATACATGAATAGGTAGTTTTTGTATCTCTAAATAATACAATAAATAATAAATACTTACTCAAATTTGGATTTTGCATATTCAGCATCTCTGTATTTGTCAAGCATAAATTCATTTTATAATTGCTTATTTCATATAAATTTTTAAAATGCATCGGTGGCAGTTTTCTTTTTAATTGCGATTGCCTAAATTAATAATTGAATATTTGTTCAAAACAGATTTTATTCTATTGTAAACTCTATAATGCTGACATTCTTTATCATTATCTTGTTTGACTTATGTATTATTTAATGCATTTATGTTCTTTTTCCTTCGTCTGTCCTTTTCTTCAATCTGTTGCTTGGATTCACTTTCACCAAACGTAGATAAGTATTCATCCCTAGACAGGAAAAAGAAAGTATAACATGTGCAAAACGTTTTTTAGAAAGAAATGAATTTTCCCTCAAATATTAAATTTGTAACCACACATTTAGAATATAATCGTTTTCTGCATAGAAATACCTAAATTTTAAACATGATGTTTTACTCTCCATAATGTTCTTTTCCATCGATGCAATGTCGTCTTTAATCTGGTTCAAACTTGTCTAAAAGACAATTCATGTCTAAATACTATATGTGTTAAAGCTATGTTGAAAGTCCCTATAAGGTCAAAGATTAATATTTTTGTTTGGTATGACATTTAATTCAAAGCAACTAATCTCATTTAATAATCACGGAAAAACTTTTTTCCCAGAAAAATACTAAAATAGATGATTAAAAATTATTTTCAAACATTTTCCTCTTTTAATGTATGTGGCAACCAATAGAAAAGCGGAATAACGAATAGAATCCGCCGTATATTCCCCCCCCCCCATCCCTCGTGTTATATTTAATAAAAAATTGCCACAGTTTATGGTTTTAACATTAGTGCACCTGAACGCTTTGCTCCGTCTCAGATATTTTAATAAAAGTTTCTGCACTCTTAACTTCAAAATCAGCCATCTTTAAACGAACTGTATCTGCTTCGTTGCTGAAAATGCATATATTCAATTTTTAAATTAAAACATTTTGATATTTTTGAAAAATATTGATTTAAAATAGAATATCTTTATTACCTTAATGATGTGTATATTACATCTAACCTAAATTACCAAAAATAAATTACGGATAAAAAATCACTAGGAGTAAAGGGGTTATAATTGGACACAAAAAAAAAGAAAAAAACTTTATGTGATTTTATTTGTATGACTAGAAGTAGGGTTGTTAATCTTTTTTGTAAACGTTCGTTAAACGATCGTTAAACGATCGTTTTTTGTTTCGTTTTCAAAAACGATCGTTTCGTTTTCGGAAAAAACGATTATTTTTAAAAACAACCCACTTGTTTTGAACTGTTAGAAAACGAAAAGCGATCGTTTTTGAAAACGATCGTTTTTATTAAAACGATTCGTGACCGTCTTTTATACGATTGTTTTTAAAAAAACTATCGTTTTTGAAAAAAAATTTATTGACAATTATATAAACGGTCGTCGTTAACGATCGTTAACGAAACGACGAACTTTATCAAAACAGTCTTTTTTTTAAAATTACATGCAACTTTATTGAATGTCGTCTTACATGAAGTTTAACCGTTTTGGGAGAGTTAAAACTCCAAGATATTTTCTTAAAAACTACTCATTGATAAGTACAGATGCCCTTCAGGTCGGTTTCCTCTCTTCGTTAACGATCGTTAACGAAGGGGTCGTCGTTAACGATCGCTATTGAAGGGTTGTCGTTAACGATCGTTAACGAAGGTTCGTCGCTAACGATTGTTAACGAAGGGTCGTCGTTAACGATCGTTAAAGAAACGTCGAATTTAATAAAAACGATCGTTTTGAAAAACGATTATTTTGAAAAAATATCGTTTTTAAAAACGTGCGTTTTGAAAAACGAGCGTTTTGAAAAACGATCGTTTTAAAAACAACCTTTTTTAAAAAACGAACTTTTAAAAAAACGATCGTTTTGTTTTCGATCTTTCGTCGTTGTTTTCATAACGAAACGATTGTTTTTCTGAAAAATGAAAACGTTAACATCCCTAACTAGAAGATGGCTGATTCAATGGACCCTTTAGCAAGTAACTGTCTCACCTTGAGGTGTCTGATTTACTTTCAATTCTAGAACTTAGTTCATTCACATTCTCTCTTATTACGGTCAATATATTATCTTCACTCTAAATATTCAAATATCTAAATTTATCATCTACCCTGAGTAATAGAAATATAGAAATATAGAAAGCATTTTCTTCTCGGCTAGAATTGAAAGATGTATACTTTGCAGCTTTACGTAATTTCTGATAATCAGTGTTAGAAATGAGCCAAATCGTGATTGGAACTAGTGTCCCTTAGTAGGAAAAAAATACATTTATTTTGGATTTTTATACAGATATCCTAGATTTACATGGCGCTTTGTGCCAATTATTCTGATAATATTTTCAGTTTTTTCTGTTGCTGATCTTTCTAAAATACTTTTGCAAATTTTTCAAATAATAACAAAAACAAATTTGCGGATTTCCTTGTTTTCATTTGCGGATTTTAAATGTTTACAAATCTAAATTATTTCAAGGGACATTTATATTCTGGTGACGGTATCCTGGGATCATGTAAGATACAACAAAAATGGTTGGACTTAATCGGTCCGATCGTTTTGATGCTGATTTGATAAACACAGACAAGCGGACACCCAAACACATCTTACGCATGAACTTAACTATAAAATCAAAAAGTTTGAACCTGTTTCTTCTCTTGAATAAGTTGTTCCATTGATCCACTGATTGCATTAGTTTTCTCCTGCTCTTGTTCAACTTCCGCCATACTTTCTAAATTAAATTGATTTATTTAATATTTTTTAGCTAAATGTCTAGGTAATGTAAAATCATGAATCGAGCTTCCTTTAGCTCTCTGTCATAACCTTCAAATCTGTTTGTTCTGTATACCAGTTTTTCGTAAATACATTTCATTTGAAACAGTTAAGAGCGAAAATTTGGCTTGGCTTGGGATTAAAATTTATTTTAGTTAACAAAAGTCGTCTATTATGTTTATTGAGACACCCTGCCTGTTCCCTGTCATCATGAATCTTTATTTTAAGATGGAACAAATAAGCTTCCCTAATTATATTTGCTTATTTGAGAGAAAAAAGATTTTTAAGAAGAATTTTACCTCCAAGATTCATACATTAAAATCCATAGGTTACGCAACATATTTTAAAGGGGCCGTTCACTTATTTGGGTAATATTAGGGTAAACTAAACAGCCTATTCGCTGTTGATTGATATTAGTCTTACTTTTCAAAGACAACTGTGGCTGGAGAAACAGCAGATTTTTCGTTCAGAATTCGAGAGCAAAGCGAATATACTGTTTAGTTTACCCTGAAAGGCTTAAATTACCCATACATTATACATTAACATTTAAAACAAAATAGTTTTTTATTATTTAGACATATTGGGGTTTTTACTTTATAATTTAGAAATGCTGAGAATAAAGCAATGTTAGAATTGTATTAAAAGTCATAGAGGGGAATATATATTAGAGGGGAATTTAAAGAATCTCTCGGTATGAATTCTTTCAGTCCCTTTCAGTCTGAATGGGAGTTTAAAGTGTACAAATCATGTAAATGTTCACAAATTATATGCAGTAGAGTACATTAATACAGTATGTTCTCTAGACTATCCATTTCAATTTCGAATTTTTAAAGCTGTTGAATAAACTTTATAAAATGAATTAGGTGAATAAAACATCATTTGATTTATAATTATAACGGAAAATCATCGTTTGTAAAGTGAAAGGCATAGAGTCTATGTGAAATTATCATTAGTCAATTATGAAACCAGCCTATTTCATAATTTGATTTTCTTTTAATATTAATTTTAGATTTTTTATAAAATGATATTCCAGGGCCCAAAAGGTTATATAGCATAAATATGTGAAGTACACCTGCAGTATGGAAACAGTACAACAAGATGGCTGTTTTACACTTTTTTCTAGCTTAAATTCCCCTCTAATATATATTCTATTCTCTTTGTTAAAAGAGCTAGATGTATCCCCTGGAGACCAACATAATCTCATATTGAACCGGTATTGTTTTTAAGTGATAATATAATACCTTCCAGTTTAGTAAACCTTGGCTCATAACATTCTTTAGTTTCTTTCAATCCCTCTTCAACCTCTGCTATCTAGAATATTCAAGATATTTAAAATATTTCAGTGCTTTTTGTTCCACTAAAAATTGCTGATAAAACTGTCCGATCTAATGGAACAAACAACATTCTAAAAACGCCTAATTCTGCGAAATTTCGCAAGATGACTATTTAGAAATTACACGATATTTACAAAAGTGAAATAATTCCGCGTAGGTGAAAATGTCTGGAAATTCTTTGATGTACGCAATGCAAACAATTAAAACTTAAATTTTGTTGATACATCTAGTTCATAAGGTGTCGGGAATATTTAAGCTAATAGTTTCAAATCCAGGAGCAAGATAAAATCGGAAAACGACCCAAAATAAATCTGCTATACTAAAGTTCTATATTTATGTCTAAATATTTTTAAAAACCAAAAGAACTGAGCCAACAAAACAATCATTGGCACCAGCTATAGCAATATCAAGTTTTACTTTTAACGTTCTCATTTTTAATCAGACATTATTTTCACAATTATTTTTTAGAAATATTAGTTATAGTTTCAGAAATTAGATTGACGAGTGTAAAAAGAAGATTTTTTAACAAGCTGTTTATTAAATTCCACGTTTTACTTTTTCCGAGGTTAAAGGACAACTATTTTTTGGGAGTATATATTCCCTGGCTGTGGAGGAACAGGATAAAATAATTTCAAAATTCAGAAAGTGCCAAGTTCAAAACACATTAAAACATATCGATTTCGCCATTAATTTCATTTTCCAAAAAGTTTTTTTGATTAAAACAACAAGAAATAATTGTATATTTTACAGATTTAGCATAGATGCATGCAGACTCCAACTTGTAAAAGTATTGAACATGCCTCCAGCCTGCTGCCTAAAGTTTATTGAAATTAAAACAACATTTGAACAATTTGCTGATCAATAATCTATGTATTGCAAATGGCTCCAATTTTTGAATGATCCGAACCATTACAAGGATTTTTCCTGTATGGTGTAGTTTTACACTAAATGAACTCAATCGTACCGACCATTCTAGACTACCCAGTATAAAGTTGACCCAGCATGTGAATTATGCATTAAAAGTAAATATTAAAGCGTTAAAATGAAATTTAGAAAAGGTAAAAACCATGTTTAATGGGTGAAAAAGGTGTTGAAATTGGATCTGGGTCTGAACATCTGACTCAGCATGATTGTATTTTGTATTTTGTAAATATATTATCTACCTTCATCTTGTTTTCAGTAATCTTGAGATCCACTTCTTCCAATAGTTTCGTGTTGTTTTCCCGATACGAAGAAATGAACTTGAAGTAACATTGTGAAACGTAATAAAATCGTTTTTAAACTAAACATTTTTTTCAGGGATTGTATTTTCAGGGATTGTATTTTGAGGGATTGTATTTTGAGGGATTGTATTTTGAGGGATTGTATTTTCAAGGATTGTATTTTCAGGGATTGTATTTTCAGGGATTGTATTATCAGGGATTGTATTTTCAGGGATTGTATTTTCAGGGATTGTATTTTCAGGGATTATATTTTCAGGGATTATATTTTCAGGGATTGTATTTTCAGGAATTGTATTATCAGGGATTGCATTTTCAGGGATTGTATTTTCAGGGATTGTATTTTCAAGGATTGTATTTTCAGGGATTGTATTTTCAGGGATTGAATTTTCAGGGATTATATTTTCAGGGATTGTACTTTCAGGGATTGCATTTTCAGGGATTGTATTTTCAGGGATTGTATTTTCAGGGATTGTATTTTCAGGGATTATATTTTCAGGGATATATTTTCAGGGATTGTATTTTCAGGGATTGTATTTTCAGGTATTGAATTTTCAGGGATTATATTTTCAGGGATTGTATTTTCAGGGATTGCATTTTCAGGGATTGTATTTTCAGGGATTGTATTTTCAGGGATTGTATTTTCAGGGATTGTATTTTCAGGGATTGTATTTTCAGGGATTGTAATAATTTCAAGTGATCCTTTATTCAAAGATGGGAAATCTATATTTACAGCGGTTTTAAGCTTTGAGATTAAAGATTCATTTAAAGCTTTGTCTGCTCAATTATAAATTATACATATGCATGTTAATGTTCGTTTAACAGCTATTTATTTTCATTTGCGTTTTCTCTGATAAAGTGACTTAAGTACATATCTTGTTTACAAGAAGCAACGGAGAATCGCACAGGATAAAACAGTTCTCGAGCCTGGAAAACGACAGTATCATTCACATGTTTGATCATAATAAGGTGTCCAGGTACCGTTGTAAATCGGGCATTGTCATCTTTGCACAGAGTCCCTTGAAAGTACTGCAGTCTCTTTAAGAGTCCCTTGAAAGTACTGTAGTCTCTTTAAGACAAAAAATGGAATTTGAACTTGTTGATCCTTCAGTTTTAAAATACTTAGCAAAACTTTTTTAAATGTTCATTTATTTCCCTCGTTTGCTGGGATGTATTTATTAATTTCTCCATTTTTATATTTTGCTCTTCTCTCAGCTCTCTGATAGTATCTTCTTCAATTTTTAGAAGAGTTAGATCTTTTAAGTCAAACCTTGAAAGAATGTTTCCGAAAAATTACAAGGAGTAAAGGATATTAAAGGCTTTAAGGGCGCTTCGCGTCCAAGTTTCCCCAATTTTAGGTTTATCTATTGGTCTCAAAATCCTTCTAAATATTTAATATTTTGACAAAATATCGGATAAAAATTAAAATATCCTATACTAAGCCCTCTACATTGTCCACAAAGTCTCCGTTTGACAAAGAGGCTAATTTATTTCTTCATACAAAGCTATTTCTAGAATTTTCTTGTTAAAAATACACAATACTTAAAAAAGAGTTAAAAATGATTTTTTAAAATCTACGTGTGATGAATTGAAGAATTTAATTTCCTAATCTGGAGTTCAAGAATAGATCTGGTCTCACTGAAAATATTTTCCTTTTGATAAAGGCAAAACACAAATTTTTGTTTTCTAATTTCAATATCTTTGCAATTCAATGTCGTAGACCTTTGATATTTCAAAATATTAAGTCTGTTAAATCAAATAATCTATGTTTGAAATATCAAAGGCTTACATCATCAGGTTGCAAAGATATAGGTGCACAAAGAAATCAAAGGCATTCATCATATAAATGTAAAAGAGAATTGTTGAGTGTTGATGACCTTCTTCAGTTTACCTTGACAATTAGATTTTAAATTTGCTGAAGTAACCCCCCCCCCCCCTCCTGTTGTTTATATTTATAAACCTCAAGGGTGTAATGCAAGGAAAGTCAATTGCGGTTCTGTATACTCTGTGTACATATTGAAACCAGTTCTCTTTGGGCGGAATTTGTAAACAATAATAGATGCATCAGTTTCAGTGTTCGTTCAGTATTCGAGGAGGGGGGTTCAATGGAGAATTTACTTCTCCTTAGTACTGTCTGTGAAAACGTTTATTTGGAGGGTAAGTGATTAAAAAAAATTGAAAAATGCAGAAGTTTTTCCGCAACCTTAGTAACATATTACAATTGAATAACTTACAGTTTATTTAATTTTGAAGATTTTGATAATTTATGTTATAAATTCCTATGACCAGAATATTTCTTTAGTTTTTTATTAGAAAGATGGATCCCGTGTCAGGCTGTGGCACCCCCCCTTTTGTGTTTACATTAGAGCCCAAAGACAGTACACTGCAGTACAAAAAATTCGTACACCACTGAAATAACTTTCCTTGCATTACACCCTTGATAAACCTGATGCTTTGTTTTCTCTCCTGATTATCCTCTTCGTGCTGGATCCTCAGTTTGTTGTGCCGCTCTAAAAATTGTATGAACTAACACAGTAAACAGACGGGGGGGGGGGGGAAGGGGTCGTTTGACGCCCCTTTCTATTTTTTTCCCTAGCACTCTCTCATTTTTGAAACTATCACCTTGAAATTTTTTTAAGGATTTTTTATAAATATTTTTTTTAATTCAAAGGGACATGGTGGTTAAGAGTCCCAGTAAAATAATCTAAAATAGCCAAAACTTTTTTGTGATTAAAGCTACAGCTATAAATTTTTTTTTGAAAAGCCATTGGAAAAATAGATTTAGAAACACGTGTAACATCTTAATATTTGTCAAAAAGACAAAATTATTTAGTTTTTACATTAGCAGTTTAATTTTTTAATTGAGCTGGCCTTGAAACATTGGTCTATAAACATACTTTGCAACCCTACACCTTTACTCTATATAATGCCGGGGGCGGGGTCAGGGTCGTGTGACGCTCTCCCCCCCCCCCCAAGCTATACTTAGATTCATAAGGTTAAATGGGTTAAACCAGTAAAAATTGAAAAGCCATGAGATCATATGGCAAATTGTCTACTTACCAATTGGTTTTAAAGGAATTGAGTCTTTGCCACAAACTCTGATTTTCTAATCACTATAACTTTGGAACCAAATGTTGTAGACCTTAGATATTTCAAACTATGAATTCTGTTAGATAAAATAATCTGAGTTTGAAATATCAAAGGTTTACAACATCGAGTTCTAAAAATATCGAGGTTTAAATATTTGATTTTGTTCCAAAGACTCAATTCCTTTAAATGTACGAAAAAAATATCTAAATCTATTACGAGAAAAAACATTTAACTATAATATGCATTATTTACCTAAAAGCACGCTAATACTATCTCCTTGGTGGCTAAAATTATCCTCTAAATATTTATTAGATTTCTGTTAACAAATGGAAATTGCATAATTGAAAAGTAGTTTACTTGGGATGAAACTGGTTTGTCCGATATTTTAATTAAATGATGAATAAGATTTATATCTATTTATATCTCTGCTTGAGAGTTCCAGAAAAGAATTCTTTTTGTAAAATTTTATTTTATTTTTCCGTTTAGAAAACAAATAATTTGAAGTTTTTGTTTAAATTAGGTTTATCAATAAAGAGCACAATAAACTTTTGCAAAAATAACTTGTAAGTTTTACAGCGCTCTCAAATTATGGTTCAAAAGTAAAATTTAGTTTTGAAATAACAATAAAATTCCTTGGAATTTAATGACTTTATCATTTTTCTCTTTTAAATTCTGTTATATTTTTCATTCTCAATGTGCTAAAAAAAATATTTTGAAAATATATTTTAATTCTATCATCTGGATATTTTCGTTGAGAATGAAATTCCTTGAGCTCAATTATCAGCTCATCCATTTTCTTCACCATCTCACAATACTGAAACATAATATTTCACCATCTCACAATACTGAAACATAATATTTCACCATCTCACAATATTGAAACATAATATTTCACCATCTCACAATACAGAAACATAATATTCTCACAATACTGAAACATAATATTCTCACAATACTGAAACATAACATTCTCACAATACTGAAACATTGTATGTTTAGACTGACAAAACATATTTTCACATGTCTCCACTCCCCCTCCCCACCCCCTTTTACACAATACGTAATAGCTTTAATTTGTTTTAAGGTTTTTTAACCTTTTCAGTTAAACAGCCCAGCAGCTGGCCAAACTCCTGGTTTCTGCTCCCTGCAATAAAATACTGATAAAATACTTCAAGTTTTATAAAAAAAATTATTTAATGTTTAACTAAAGAATTCTTTGCTGTAAAGTTTTAATTAGTTTATTAAGTATTTGAACTAATTATACAAGGACAGACAATTAGTTACAGAAATTACAGGGACTAGGGACTAGGATTACAGGGATTAAGGATTAGAATTACAGGGACTAGGAAGTAGAATTACAGGGACTAGGGTTTACTATTACAGGGACTGGGGAGTAGGATTACAACGACTAGGGATAAGGATTACAGAGACTAGAGAGCACTATTACAGGGAATAGGGAGTAAGGTTACATGGACTATAAGAATAGGATTACAGGGACTAAAGAATAAGATTACAGGAACTATAAGAATAGGATTACAGGGACTATAAGAATAAGATTACAGATATTAAAAGAATAGGATTACAGGGACTATAAGAATGGATCAGTCGGTTACCTGGACAAGCTACAACATACATTTTAATATGAAGAACAAGTTTTCAGCTTGGTTTCCAATTTTCTGCAAGATCATCATAGGTTATTTCTATATTATTGATATATATTGTGTAATAAACTAAAATCTTGTATTCTACTTGAGTATTAGAGGTCTACTAAGGTCTTGTATTCTACTTGAGTATTAAAGGTCTACTAAGGTCTTGTATTCTACTTGAGTATTAAAGGTCTACTAAGGTCTTGTATTCTACTTGAGTATTAAAGGTCTACTAAGGTCCAGTATTCTACTTGAGTAAGGTCTATTAAGGTCTGGTATTCTACTTGAGTATTAAAGGTCTACTAAGGTCTGGTATTCTACTTGATTAATTAAAGGTCTACTAAGGTCTAGTATTCTACTTGAGTATTAAAGGTCTACTGAGGTCTAGTATTCTACTTGAGTATTAGAGGTCTATTAAGGTCTGGTATTCTACTTGAGTATTAAAGGTCTACTAAGGTCTGGTATTCTACTTGAGTATTAAAGGTCTACTAGGTCTGGTATTCTACTTGAGTATTAAAGGTCTACTAAGGTCTAGTATTATACTTGAGTATTAAAGGTCTACTAAGGTCTTGTATTCTACTTGAGTATTGAAGGTCTACTAAGGTCTTGTATTCTACTTGAGTATTGAAGGTCTACTAAGGTCTTGTATTCTACTTGAGTATTGAAGGTATACTTGAAGGTATACTAAGGTCTTGTATTCTACTTGAGTATTAAAGGTCTATTAAGGTCTAGTATTATACTTGAGTATTAAAGGTCTACTAAGGACTTGTATTCTACTTGAGTATAAAAGGTCTACTAAGGTCTTGTATTCTACTTGAGTATTAAAGGTCTACTAAGGTCTTGTATTCTACTGAATTATCAATCAAACTATGGAAACTTAAAGGGAATATATTCTATATATAGAACTAAACTTGGTTCTATGTTTCAAGGTTTCTGGGGAACTATGTAATCAGATATAATTGCACTGAGTAAAGTAAAACAACTAATGATATTTAAACAAACTGCAGAGTGTATCGTGTTTAGGATAGATCACAAAACAAACCTCCCAAAGGACCAATGAATGACGGCTGGGACTTGGAATACTATAAAAACTCAAGGATACTGGAAACTCAAGGATACTGGAAACTCAAGGATTCTTTAAACTTAAGGATACTAGAAACACAAGGATTCTATAAACTTAAGGATAGTAGAAACGCAAGGATTCTATAAACTCAAGGATTCTATAAACTCAAGGATACTGGAAACTCAAGGATACTAGAAATTCAAGGATACTAGAAATTTATGAATACTATAAAACTCAAGGATACTATAAACTCAAGGATACTGGAAACTCAAGGATACTGGAAACTCTAGAATACTATAAACTCAAGAATACTATAAGACTCAAGGATACTGGAAACTCAAGGATACTAGAAATTCAGGAATACTATAAAACTCAAGGTTTCTTTAAACTCAAGGATACTGGAAACTCAAGGATACTGGAAACTCAAGGATACTAGAAACTCAAGAATACTATAAAACTCAAGGATACTGAAAACTCAAGGATACTATAAACTCAAGAATACTATAAAACGCAAGGATACTAGAAACTCAAGAATACTATAAAACTTAAGGATTCTGAAAACTCAAAGATACTAGAAACTCAAGAATACTATAAAACTCAAGGATACTGGAAACTCAAGGATACTGGAAACTCAAGGATACTAGAAACTCAAGAATACTATAAAACTCAAGGATATTGGAAACTCAAGGATACTATAAAACTCAAAGGATACTAGAAACTTAAGGTTACTAGAAACTCAAGAATACTATAAAACTCAATAATACTCATAGGATACATACAACCTTCTTTTTTATTTTGCCCCGATTACTCTCAATTATTGGCCGGACAATTGTTAAACTTCATGGACATTGTCAGGTGTAAACCAAACTTTGTTTTAAACTATTGCTGACAGCATAAAAGAAGCTGGCAGCGGTGGCTGTTTAAAAGTTCGTCCTGCAAGGGCCATGTTAGAGTTGATTTAATCAGGAAAATCTTCTGGATAAACTAAGTAAATTCCTTCTTGAAATAAAATATCGTCCTATCAGCTTACTACAGTAATTGTCTCCGGTAGCTGTTCTCCTTGTTGAAGGGGAAATGAGAAGTGAAGGAACTGGTTCCGCATATGCCGGGAAATGACGGGATACAGTACAAGTGTTGGATCAAATTACCTTCACCCTGAAATTATAATCTGCTATTCATGCTATTAAGATCTTTGGGTTATATTGAATACCTTTAAACAGATTCTTGTAATTTTTAAGCCAGTTCTGGATAATTCTTAGCTTTGAGAATTTTACTTTGGACGTAGGCAAGAGACAAAGAGCATTTATTCAGAGCAGGGTTGAGCAATGAGCAAATCCGATTTTTTTCTTATCCGAACATCCCAGAGACGTTGTGATATTTCATTATGATCGGGTAAAAATTAAGCCTCTAAGAGAAAAAAAATTTCAAGTTAATGCAAAAATATTACTTTATAGATTTTTGCACGTTTTTGCACATAATAATTCTGTATCTAAAAACAGTTTAGAATTTAATTTTCTCATGAAACAAAGAGTATTAATAAAACTAGTTTTCTTTTTTCCATTGTCAACTTTAGTTAAATAATTTATATTTCTACTTTCTTAATTTTTAACCCTATTCCTGCTGGGGGGGGGGTCAATTTGACCCCCCCTGTAGTTTTTTTACATAACTCAAAAAGTATTGGTCTAAGGCTGTTGAAATTTTCTGACTTTTCCTACATACCCAAAGCCCTCCCTTTAGGCCTAAAACCGGGCTTTAATACTAACTGCATGAGTCCTCAGGCACACTGCCTGAATGACTGCTTTTTCCTGTAACAAACTAAATCTTTGTTTTTGGAAAGCCTTTGACATAGGAAACGAATTGCACAAGTTTTGCGAAATTAAATTGCAAATTTTTTGCAAACAAACTGTCAAAGAAATTTTTCACATTTTTAGTTTTTCTTGATTAAAAATCAGGTTATTTAAAATTTTGCAAAAATTTTTGCATATTTGAAATGGCATGGTCAAGGGCTTTTCAAAAATGTATAATTTTTCATTTTTGGACAAATTTTTTTTGCAAACATTTTTACTATATAACTGGATTTTGCGATAAAAAATTCAATTTTTGCAAATTTGCAAATTTTTTTGCAGATTCTAAAAGTAGAGCACAAGAGCTTTCCAATGATGTATCATTTGTCATATTTAGACATCAAACATGGGATTTAGAGGGGGGGGGGAGGGTCAACATATCCTGGTTTTCAAGTACCCCAGCAGAGATAGGGTTAAGCATTAGCTAATTCTAAAAAACCATAAATACTTATTAAGCAATATTATTTTAGGTTTAATGTTGATGCATAACTAATAGATCAGAAATCCGAAGAACATATGTAATATTCTCTTCGGAAAGATTAAGTTTGTCCAAGATATGCATATAAAAGGTGTGTGTGTGGGGGGGGGGGTAAAGTATATCATCCCCCTTTCCCAACCTCAAAAAAATGATTGGGTTTGTGTGCATTTTCTATGGCATTTCCAAAACAAGATTGTATATTAAGATTGCTACTCTCGATGTGCTCCAATGTACGGAAAATGTGATGGAAATTGATTATAGAGGCGAGTGTAGGAAGTAGTGATCTTATGTACAGATTTCACAAGATCATTACTTAGAAGACGACATTTTACGTAAATTATCCGTTAATAACAACCTTCCAGAAGTTTATCATCTAAACCTTGGAATTTATCCAGCGTCAACTCATCAAGCTTTTAACAAGTTTTGGCCTTCTCTGGAAGGTCATGGGATACATTCTCCTGGATATCTGGAAAAACTAAAGAATTACTGTGTGCTTAATAACACCAGCAAACATATCGAGAAATTATTATTAACAATTCTGCACTGAGAAAGAGAAATATATTTAATTTGTTTCATCATTTGTTTCATAAAACACAGAGAACGTGGGTATAAACTAATTTGTTGGACTTTTAGATATATGTCAAATCAGAACTGAAACCTGAAAATCCGCCAAATCTTTAATGTGAATTTTCTCAAGAATCCCTGGGTCAAAGATTTTGATTTTTTACATTTTGAACTCAGATTGTCCCCCTCTTTGATTTCATCATTGAGCACAAACTTCATGTGATATATAATATAAAGCGTTTTCCTCGTATTTTAAATAAAGAAGTGCGCTCCATTTAGATTTATGAAAGGAATAATTAGAATTTATTTAACATTTTTCACATATTTCTTCTTTTTAGTTGTTTTCATTTGATTAAACAAATTTAAATTCTCTTTACCCGGTTTATATCTGACAAATAAAAAGGTGCAATAATATTTTTGTATTCTTTATTTTTTTTATTTTTCAAACAGGGGACATTACTTGAACAGAGTTGGTGGTGGGGGAGATTTTCCCATATATCTTCTCTTATACTTGTTCCTTTATAAACAAATATAATTAAATTTCATGTTCAAGTGAACCTTATCATCTTTTATATATGCTACAGTGTAGGCAATTATATCAAAACAATGAAGACGACTTTTGATTTCAATTTTGATTTAAATCAAGCTTTTAAACAGAGCTGGATAAACATAAACATGGAAGCAAAGAGAAACTATAGGTTTTAAAAGTTTTTCTTTAATAACTTGTAAACTTGCAATTCGAAAAAAGCTTTTAAACAATCAAAAGTCGTCTTCATTGTAGCGATATTATGGCGTACCACTGTACCTGAAGTATTAATATGCTAGTTGAAGTATAGATATGCTACCTAAATTATAGATGTGCTACCTGAATTATAGATATGCTACCTGAATTATAGATATACTACCTGAAGTAAAGATATATTACCTGAAGTATAGATATACTACCTGAAGTATAGATATACTACCTGAAGTACAGATAAACTGCCTGAAGTATAGATATGTTACTTAACTTCATGATATACTACCTGAAGTATAGATATGTTACCTAAAGTATAGATATGTTACCTGAAGTATAGATATAATACCTGAATTATAGATATGTTACCTGAAGCATAGATAAACTACCTGAAGTATAGATATGTTACTTAACTTCATGATATACTACCAGAAGTATAGATATGTTACCTGAAGTATAGATATAAAACCTGAAGTATAGATATGTTACCATAGATATAATACCTGAAGTACAGATATACTACCTGAAGTATAGATATGCTACCTGAAGTATAGATATGTTACCTGAAGTATTGATATGCTAACTGAAGTATAGATATGCTACCTGAAGTATTGATATGTTACCTGAAGTATTGATATGCTACCTGAAGTATAGATATGCTACTGAAGTATAGATATGTTACCTGAAGTATTGATATACTACCTGAAGTATAGATATGCTACCTGAAGTATAGATATGTTACCTGAAGTATAGATTTAATACCTGAAGTATAGATATGTTACATGAAGCATAGATATAATACCTGAAGTACAGATATACTACCTGAAGTATAGATATGCTACCTGAAGTAAAGATATGTTACCTGAAGTATAGATATACTACCTGAAGTATAGATATGCTACCTGAAGTATCTATATACTACCTGAAGTATAGATATACTACCTGAAGTATAGATATAGTGCTTGGATTTCTATCTTTTCTCTACCTGCGTGGTTTTAAATGGTTGGCTTGGTTTAGGGGTGGTTATATCCCAAAACAAGAATTATTAATTTAATGATGTATCATTTCATCAATTTATCATTCAATTTAGATCTATGTATTTTTATCTTGTAAATTGTTATTTGCTACTTTTACCCTGAAATTGAACCAGGATTTTAAGTAGTACAAGCCAGACCAGTAAAAATAACACACACCATCATGTAGTGTTGCTAAGAAATCCCACTAAGCCTCTCGCAATTGGCTTACTTTAAGCGAGTTTGTTCTACCTATGTGATCGTGGATTATAAACCTTAATAAATCATCGGAATCATAGTGCTCATTAAACAACCAGATTGGCAGATAACAGAGAGGAGAGAGAATGTTTAAGATGGATGGTTATAGATAGATTGGATACAACAGCTACCACCCCCCACCTTCATCCATATCAACTTCATCTACATCATTCCTCCCTTCTGTTTTCTTCCTCCCAAAATTTTACCAAACCAATCTAATCTTTTTTGCCATTCCGGCAAATGATATGTTACCTGAAGCATAGATACTACCTGAAGTATAGATATGTTACCTGAAGTATAGATATACTACCTGAAGTATAGATAAACTACCTGAAGTATAGATATGCTACCTGAAGTATAGATAAACTACCTGAAGTATAGATATGCTACCTGAAGTATTGATATGCTTCCTGAACGAGACAAAGTTCAGCGCGGATCTGGTATAATAAATATATATATATGGTTGTCTGTGGGTCCTCGATATTGTGGAAATGCAAAGGTATGAAGAAAGTTTTGTAAAAGTTTAAATCTTGGAGATCCTATCCAGAATATTTTTGTCTTTCTATATTTTACATTTTCTGTTTAATGCTTTGATGAGTTCTTATGAAAGGGCGAGGAGCGAGTGAATTTGTTTTTTGTCTTCGGAGGTGATATTCTTATTTTGTTGAAAAATACTCTACATCCTTAATTCTGAATTGCGAACCGTTAATATGATCGATTTAGATCAGAACAATTGAATAATAAATCGAATAATAAAAACGCAAAAACGGGATATGCACTAAATTTTACATGACAGTAAGATAGTGGCGTACTTTTTGTTTTTGTCATTTCCGACAATATACAACTTTACAATGTATAGATAATGAAACACTTATATACTAGAATACTTTCTTTTGGTTTGGAATGTGAAGAAGAAATACTTACTTTACTTTCCGTCCATTTTTCACGCATTATTTCCTCTGTAATCTGATCCTGAGTTTTGTATCCTTTTTTCTTTTCTAATTCCTTTTGTTCCAGTTCCTGATGATAGAAAAATTATTAGAAATTTTAGAATTAATTTATAGACAGCTGTGTTAAGTGTTTTAACAATTTAAAAATATCTGTAAGATATTACAAGAAAAGAAATAAACATAAACATTCGAAAGACTTGTAATTTGTAAGTTCGTCGACGAATTAACTCAATTTTTAGTATTTAGTTTTTTACAAAATAAATTGCGTCTTTGGAAGTATTTGTGAAAGAGATGAACCATCAAATAACCTGTTCTGTAAAATCTAAGTGAAGTGTATTTTAATTGCACAATAGTAACGTTTGTACATTACGATTACGACAGTCAAATTGCTAAAAAAATATGCATCAACTTTTCATACCGTTCGGCTTTCAAGTTTCACTAAAACGTTAGACTTTCATCTAACCTTACCAACCAAATCAAGGTTATATTATAAGGTTGGTTAAGCTCTACATCATAGATGCGCTCCAATGTACAGTAAATGTCGGATAGCTCTGGATTTTAAGATTTTAAAGCAGCAAAGTGCTTGTTTAAAAGAATTATTTGGTAAAATCTAGATATTACCAGTTTCATTCTTGATTGTCTTCGACTCTCTAGCTTGTGTACCATCAACGATAACTGGGAAAATTTAGAAAGAATCGGTCTTTTATATTACAAAATTTCATTAAATATAGTAATCATAGATAACTAATACTAAGTGGAATCATTGTCGTCTTTGCTCTTTCTTTAATGAGAAATGCCGCAAACTATTTTGTATTTTGCAACTGTAAGTGTAATATTTAAGAAAATGGGTAAATACTGAAAATACATACAAAATCCTTTGAGAAATTTTGAATTAAAAAAAATGAAGACAACAATCATTCCGCTTTTTATCATTGTACGCTAAAACATCTTGATCTCTCCGGAGGGGATAGAATAATCAAGGGTTAATTTACATAATCAGAGATGGAATTTAAAGAATTTGAGCCGCGGTTTAAATCCGCCAAAAATCCGCCAAAATCCGCCAAAACCCGGTTTAAATTTAGTGCCGGCTTAAATCTTGAAACATTTGATACAATTTTAAGTGGAACCAACCATATTTAAACCGCGGCTTAAATTTAAACCGCCGCTCAAATTCTTTAAATTCGGCCACAGGTTGTACAGATATTGGAAAATTATAAAGTTTGACAAGTAACCAGGTTCTTAAATTGATATAAAGTTAAAAAATTGATGTTGTGTCGAGTTATGAGCTCCTATAAAAAATATGTAAATGCTAAAGAAGATATAACCTCTGTATAAACCTCGTTCAAATCCTTGTCAGGTTGTGGAATATAAGGTTTAGTTGGTCCTAGCTTTATCCCTCCCTCATCCAGTATCTTGCTTTCTAGGAGTAAATCTTTCAATATCATTTTTGGAGGCAGAAAATCGACGAATTTTTACTCCTTATTGATCTTCAGTAAAGTTTTAAAAGTTTCTGTTGTAAATCGGACATGTCCTTCTTTTGAATGGCTGTTCGCTTGAAATTAAAAGAACAGTACTTTAAAAATAAAATGTACTTACCTTCTGTACTAATAAATATTTGCATTTCTCTCTCATGTTTTACCTAGAAACAAGTCTTATATAGACATGTTTAGCTATGCATGAAGATTTCAGGGTTTGAATGGTAATGCTTATCATATCATTGTAATATCTCATGTTTTTAGTTGAATAAGAATATGAAATATAAAATATGTACAATATAAATGTATTTACCAGCCTAGCGGTCTTAGTTATAAATGCAACGCAAAGAAAGGTTGTGAATATTGACAGGGTACATCTTGAAAAGTCATCATCATGATCATGATCATCATCATCATCATCATCATCATAATCATCTTTGTCTTCTGTATTGTTTGAAAAATAAGCATCAAGTTCTTCACTAACCATGTTTACCTGAAATTTATTATATTATCAGTCAAATTAATAAAAATAATATAATTTCTTTGTTTGAAAACCTCAATATTTTTTTCCTTTTTATACTTTTCTTTTAAATATCTTTCAGAGAAACGTTAAAAAAGATGATTTTTTGGGGGAACAAGGTAAATCTGACAAAAAGAGGCTTGCTCACTAGAATTTTTTTACAATATTAAAATCTAATTCCAGAATGGACATTCATCCTAATCGGATGGGCGCTATCTGGGATAGCAAAGTAAAACAATTATTTTTAAATGCCAAGCCACAAAGGCTTTACTTTGGAAGTAGTAAAAGACCATTTTTTTAAAATTTGGATTTAATTTACCTTATTTATTGCACCGGCCTTTTGTAATCTTTCTTTTTATTACAAACTAGGCTACTAGCTGAAGTGCCATGGTCGTTGTCCGAAGAATTTTAAAAATCGAATTTTTAAAAAAAACTTATAATTTATTTAGCTTATATCATCCCCAAGAGTTTCCACACTAAAATTCAGCCGTTTGGTCAGTCATAGCAATAAGCCATATAAATGAACGAAGAGCTTTATTATATAGATTACAATTGTACTCCTACTTTTTTTTCAAAACAGAAACTTTTAAAAGTCATAATTATTTTCTGGACCTTTGTCCTTCTTTTCATCTCATAGAATTGAAGCAAAGTTGAGTTTTTCTTTTTCAAAAATGTGTTTTACTATCTCTAGTTTAAAAACTAATTATTACTAACATAACAGTATAATAGAATATCCATTTTTTAGAAACAATGCTTTTTTCTGCTAGTTTTGTTTAAAGGAGAGTCTGAGAGATAAAGTATAGTACATGCAAGGTAATTGGACTGTATGTATCTTATACGTATGCCTGATATCAAAGAAGCCAAATGTTTTGAATTTACTGTTCAAATTTTGCCCCCCCCCCCCTAGCAGCTCCCAGAGGGGGTAAACAAATTTGTTGGCGCTTCGCGCAATTGTCGCCCCCCCAAGATTTATTTCTGTATACGCCTTTGTTAACAAAGAATTAATTTATTTTAAATATTTTACCTCTTTTTCGCATTTCACAGGTCTGAAAAAAATGATATTTATAAAAAATCAAAATGTAAAAAAGCATAAAGAAAATTCGCGTTTGGTTCCATGTATAATATTTGTTTTGTTCTACCTTAACTTTTTCAATTCACCCACTTCCTCGGATACCTTACTCCCTCCTGGCAACTAAACGATTTTTTGGATAAGAATAAAATCTTTTAAAGGGACTAATTAGCGAAATTTCAAGTGACCCTCCATCCAAAGAAGCAAAGAGGGGAATGCCCGATTTACGACGGTACCCTTAAAACATTTGTCGTGGTCGTGGAGTACAAAGATATGTGAGTAAACGTATCTAAATAGGCTTGTATGATCAGCTGCATTCCGCTTTGTGCGCTGCGTTGAGTAAAGACTGTACTCAGGGAGGGAGGGAGTCCAGAGTTCCTCAAATCTGTTTTGCGGCAAACGCGCTCCTCAATTGGTAATCTCCACCACCTCAAAATAAACTTAATGATATCAGAGTTTGGAGGTCTATATACATTACCAATAATTCTAAATTTCTTTGAAGAAACTTTGACTTTTAAAAAGATAGATTCAAAAACTCTTTCCTCAAAGACAGATATATTTTCTAGGATCTCAAAATCATGTTCATTTTTTACCCAACATGCTACCCCTCCCCTCCCTCACGCAGGCCGGAATTTTCAAAGCAGATTTAGATACATTTACACAAATAGATTAACAAGTACAAAGATGACAACAGAGAAATGGTAAACAATTATACACGACGTCACAAGTGTCAAAAATAACAAGAAAAACTAAATTTTCTCACATTAGTTGACATGTTTTCCAAAATTAAACAAAAAAGTGTAAAAACAGAAAAAAGAGAACAAATAAAATCGCACTTATTTTACTGTAAAATAAGCAATTTATTTTTAAATTATCACAATTATTAATCATTTTGTCGGACACAAAAACTAAGTTTACACTATTGACGTAAAAATACAGCTGTACTACTGAGAGTGTACACAGAAAGGTTTTAAGGATACCGTTGTAAATTGTGCATTCCCCTTTTAACGTGGAGGGTTACTTAAATTTACGCTCACAGTCCCTTTAAGTTTAGAAATATATTTTTATCTTTCCTTCTGTCTCTGTTGAGATCTTCGAACAAGACTCAGAGAGATGGATGATCCAGGTCTAGGCATATATGGATCTAGATCTAGGAACCTAAATTATATCTAGATCTAGGAGCCGAAATCATATCTAGATCTAGGAACCTAAATTATATCTAGATATAGGAACCTAGATTATATGTAGATCTAGGAACCTAAATTATATCTAGATCTAGAAACCTAAATTATATCTAGATCTAGGAACCTAAATTATATCTAGATATAGGAACCTAAATTATATCTAGATCTAGAAACCTAAATTATATCTAGATCTAGGAACCTAGATTATATCTAGATCTAGGAACCTAAACTATATCTAGATCTAGAAACCTAAATTATATCTAGATCTAGGAACCTAAATTATATCTAGATATAGGAACCTAGATTATATCTAGATCTAGGAACCGAAATTATATCTAAATCTAGGAACCTAAATTATATCTTTAGATCTAGGAACCTAAATCATATTAATTAATTAATAGGGAGGTCGGTTGTATACATCTGAGCTAAGCTTCACCTCTTTGTTTTATTACTCTATGATAAAAATCCTACCTTTCTCTCGGGCATTTTAGTACGCTTCAGTTCACCATAATTTAATTAATGGAAAGTTTAAAAGTTTAATTAACTAACAATTCTTGACAATTCTTGACAAAAGTTTTGATTAAAATAATATCTATCACAAGCGAATAAAATTTGAATAAATTTTCCTAAACCCTCTATCCATTGCAGTCTGTGGTCTTGACATTTTGTTTCTCTAGATTGGAATATGTTTATTTTTTATGTTTTAATTTGTCAAAAGAAAAATAAAGGTAGCAAAACTAGCTATGACTCGTTTAACCGGTTGAAAGGATTGATTATGTTTGAAAGAATTGATCAGGTTTATGGAAACAATTTATTAAGTTTATGGAAAGGATTAATTAAGTGTATGGAAAGGATTGATTATGTTTATGGGAAGGATTGATTATGTTTATGGAAAGGATTGCTCATGTTTATGGAAAGGATTGATTAGGTTTATGGAAAGGATTGGTTATGTTTAGGGAAAGGATTGTTTAGGTTTATGGAAAGGATTGGTTAGGTTTGGGAAAGGATTGATTAGGTTTATGGAAAGGATTGGTTAGGTTTGGGAAAAGATTGATTAGGTTTATGGAAAGGATTGGTTAGGTTTATGGAAAGGATTTACCAGATTTATGGAAAGGATTGATTAGGTTTATGGAAAGGATTGGTTAGGTTTATGGAAAGGATTGATTAGGTTGATGGAAAGGATTGATTAGGTTTATGGAACGGATTAGTATCAGGTTTTAAGGAAAAGATTGAACCAAAAAATCTAAACACTTTTTAGGCGGTCACCATGCAGGGCAGCCCGTATCTTCGTTTACAAAAAAAAATTGTCCTGCAGTTTTGGGGAGAAACCAAAACAATCTCATTTTGTAAAGATTTTGGTGTATCGTATTAAAGTATGGGATAATGATGATAGTTTATAAACTACTAGAGGTTTACCAAGGCAAATAGAATCATGCAGTCTCCAGAATTATAATAAAAATACTTTATTTATTTCAAAATAAAGCGTTTAAGGTGTACAGCAGTAATATTTAACATTTAATCATAATAATCCAACAAAAACAGAAATATCCGCAATATGTTTATTTTCTGCATTATCTTTAAGAAAGTACTTCTTACAAAACTGATGTATTTTTGTGGGGTGTTTCACTCCCTCCCCCCCCCCCTTCCCCCCGGCCGTTTAATCTTGATATATTAAATTTATCTCTGTTGAAGGTTTCATTAGATCCGATAATTTTTCTCCTTTAAAAACAATCTTACTTCACAGTTTTTCTTTTTTTATAATTTCCCCCGAAAAGCTATATTTGAAAGATATTTACATTATATGTTTTTTTGCACTTTCTTTACTAAAACTTAAACACATCGTAAATACATAATATTCTTATTGTACACAATTCTTTTTTAATTCTTCTTGAACATCTGTGCAATCTGTTCGACCGTCTTGCCTTTCGTCTCTGGTACAAGGAAAATAGTATAGATTGTCCCAGCACCACAAATAGAAGCATACAACCAGAAGGTTCCAGAAGCACCTTAAATATGGATATAGATTATAGAATATACAGATATATTTCAGAATATGGTTTCCATCTTGGATCTAGTGTGTTTTCAAGCATGGATTTTTAAACATGGATTTTAAATATAGGTTATAAATTTTAAAACTTTGATTGTATAAACATAGATTTTCAAATATGGATTGTAAAAACATAAAGTTCCCAATCAAATATGAATTTAAAAAAAATGATGAATAAAATTTGAATTTGAAAATATGGATGCCAGCCAAAATTAAATCAAGAAATTTCTTTTAACTTCCATGACATTTAATATCGAAAATTATCGAAATTAACCAACGGTTTCTACAGGGTGTTTTTTTTAATTCTTTAACTTATAATTCTGGTACAGCACATCATTATGGATTACATTTACTAAACAATAAAGTTTGTCTACACATATGGACGTTTGGTATGATAGCAGAAATATTAATCAGATTTCACATTAAACACTTCGTTTGCCACATAAACTGATTGTTGAGAGGAAGTTCCTGCTAGTTTGAAATGGGCGACAAGGATTTTAACGCTGCCTTCTCATTTTTCAACCGATATCAGTAATTTTCAGGCCTAGGTCGTATTAAAATTTCAGAAAGATCGAAGCATGATGATGTGACAGAAAATATGAAACTGCGGATTTACATGGTTTTTCCCCCCGGATATTCTTTACGGATTTTAAAACATCCAATATTAATAATTAAGCTACTTAGAGACATAAGCTTTACAAAAATACAGAATTATATTATCTATGCTAGTGTGGCGGATATGAATATCGTCTTCCTGAATAATTCTAGAAATCCAAGGAGGAGTTTCCCGATCAGCTGATATAAAAAACATGTGTTAATCATTCAATTATTTTTACTATATAAGTTAAGATTTTAAATAAAGTTAATCGTTGAGTAACTCTTTTCCTTTAAAGTTGTAGCACGCCAAACTAGCATGATATCACGGATTTTAATTTTTCTAGAATATGGAATATCAACGACAGAGTTTTATTAAACTATTGCCATAAAAAATCAAAGCAGTTTTGCTTTAAAAAAATACATATTTCTAAAACGAATGTTTTTCAAACAATGAATCCATCTAAAGGGATCAATGGATGTATTTAATCAGCCATTGCGCCTAATGTATAATGTAAATACCAAAGGTTGATAATCTCCTTTTGACATGATGAGATTAAAGAATGTGATTAATGATCCATTGCTATGATAGGAGATCAACGAATCTATTTTATCATCTATTTTCCTGATAAAATCAACGAATGTATTGAATCACCAATTGTCATGATAAGATCAACGAATGTATTAAATCACCTATTGCCATGATAAAATCAACGAATGTATTTAATCACCTATTGCCATGATCAGATCAACGAATGTTTTTGAAACAATGAATCCCATGATGAATGAGAAACAGATGATGATTGAGTTGCCAATGCTTCTGACATGTGGGGGTAAAAGTTCAGCTGTTACAACCTACATTAGAAATATTGAATTATTCTCCTAAAAACAGCATTTTAGTAAAAATTTATTCTTATTTCTTTAAAGAAATCTTTCTTAGACGTTTAAATTTGTAGAGACATGGTTAAAAATAGAATTCTCTGAATTTATACAAGTACCAGCCGCAGTGCTCCGCCAAATAAAGATAAACCTAGTCCGATCAACTTCATTCTTAGTCTTTATTGAAATTAGGAAAAATATCCTTAAAGAAAAGATTAAACTAGAAGAGTTATGGATTTCAGAAAATTCAATTTAGAAAAAAAAGTCAATTTGAAGAATATGTATTTACCCAGATAAGAGTTCCGTATCCTCCGTTCCCCAGGAACAGAAGAACAAGGATTGCCAAGGGTGGAAGCCAACCAGGGAAGTTCTCTAGAGGGTCCACCACCATATCTAAACCGTAAAAATGCTATATAAATTTTTTTTTCAGTTTTATGGATAAAATTTTGTTTTTTGTAATGTGTAAAGCTTAGCTTAGAATCAGCGACTGAGCTTGATTTAAAATTCAAAAAGTATTAAAGGGTTTATAATGCTTTATAAGTGTTCTGGGAGAAATTTTTCATTTAAGCCAATAAAGAGGTATACTGAGCCGTCAAGAGGGATAGGAGCCGTTTCAGCCCTTGAAGGTACAGATTTTAGATTCTAAAGTTTTGTACTCTGAGGTGTAATTTAAAGAATTTGAGCCGCGGTTTAAATCCGCCAAAACCCGGTTTAAATTAAGCGCCGGCTTAAATCTTGAAACATTTCATACAATTTTAAGTGGAACCATCCATATTTAAACCGCGGCTTAAATTCAAACCGCCGCTAAAATTCTTTAAATTCGGCCACTGGTTAAAGAATTTGGTCGAATCGTTGTGAGTTTTTGACTAATATATAACTTTTATTTTCAAATTAAAATACTCATGTAGAATAATATTTTTATTTTGGTGACTTTGATGACAAGCTTTTTATATTGCACACTGCTGATCGAGCAAAATGTTTGGCTTTTTTTGGGACAAAGATTTTGAATATCGTTAAACCAGATCTGTTAGACTTTTTTCGGCCAACTTTAATATCTTTAAAAACCTGGTGATCCCTGAGCTTTAGAAATCTCTACATTTGCAGATTCGATAGCATAGAAACATCCTCCTAACATTTACATATATATATTCTGCTAAAAACAAAACATATATTTCTTATATTTGGTAGAAAAAATATATATTTATAGAACCTTAGTAATTCAAGATATTGCTGAATTAGTTAATGATGAACAAAACAGGCTGTAAGGCTGTAATGGAACTGACTGCTCGCCAAAAATATGTAATTTTCGAACCTTTTTATCTTTTTAACCTTATTTCAATGACCTTTCATATTTCAAACCAAAATTCAGCAGTAACAAATTGTCAAAGTTTGAAATATCAAAGGTTTTGCCTATCAGGTTGCAAAGATAAAGGGATTAAAAAATGCAAGTGAGAATAAATGCCTGAACCTAAAGTTTAATTAATTGATAAAACCAAATGACATTATTAATTTTCAATTATTATCAATTGTTAAATTTGCCAAATCATTTATAAAAAATAAAAATTCAACATTAGGCTGTGATCAAACTACTATGAACGTATTTTAAAACGACTTTAGTGCCTTTATACAATTAAAATAAAAATAGAGAAGAAGAAATAAAATATTTTTTTTAATAATTCAATGAAGTTTTAAAATCTCCGATCATTGATAAACTTGGCTTCTTTGTTTTTGTCCTCTTCTAAACAAACCGGAAAATTTTAATCTATTGAAGACTGCAAAGTCGTCTTTGAACTTAGAAAAAATTTGCGGCATTCTTTTTAGGCAACCTACTTTAAGCAATATTTTCTTATAACACAATAATCCTTCCATTTCCAAAATGTGGTCTGCCATTTTTTCGCTTGCATTATTACAGCAGATATGAATTAGTTTGATCAGAATGAAACATTACTATGATTTTATTCAATAAATTGAAATTAAACAAAGATCTTAATACTTTGCCATTCGAAATAATGACATTTTATAAATAAATTTCCTAATAGAAAATAGCATACTGTCATCCCAGACATTGAAGCAATCAGTATCACCTGAATCAGAAAAAAATGAAAAAAGATATGTACGATTCAATTTGAGAGACAATAATTTTCAAAAATCGTATTAACACTTAAGTTAAAATTCGAGGAACTACTTAAATCAATAGATTTTTCTTTAAATCTTAAATAGTTTGAACTCGATGGCATAATTTGCTGAAGTTAAATCCTAAAATTTAGAATATCAATTTTTTAATCATAATTCATATTTTTTTCTTATAACAATATTATTTCTGAGGTTGAAATCTTTGAAACTTTTTTCATGATGTGCTGGGTTCCAACCTTGGGATATCTAAAAGGACTTGAGATGACAAAGGTTCGGATCTCTGCTTAATTTAGATGTTTTTGTGCCTCAGAATATATTTCTCTGATTTTAATTACCCTTCGGCCCATCCTTGTTATAAAGAAAATGGCAGCAACACAAGAAACAAGTAGAACTAGTCCAACCACTACACTACCTTAAACACAGAAAAAGTTCATTGTTTTATGTTTAGAAAATTATCAAAGATGAAATTGCCCCATACTAAAAGCATTTTTTGGTCCAGTGGAGTCGTTAAAAATGAGCAACGTCTGATTCACAAGATCATATCTAACTTTAGAATTTATTGTTTACCAATTTAGTTTTATTATAAAGATTGATAATGATTTACTGAAATATTTATTATTTATTTTAAGAAAACAGAAGAACTAACTTCTGACTGCTTTCACGTTATCATTGAACTTCTATATTTCTTTTCAGAAAATAAAACTTTGAAATACTCCCAGGGAAAACGAGGAAAAATCTTCCATTTCAGTCTTGGCTCTGCTGCATAAATTCTGAAGTTACTTCTAAAGATAACCCACAATCGGAAATGTAAAAAGTAAGCGGGCAAAGAACTCTTAAAGTTGAAATAGCCCAAACCCACTTTCTAAAAAAATGATTAAAATCTAAATCCGTTATATTCCTGTTTTCTCTGATAAAGTTTTGTAAGTTTACTTCTGTGAATATTTGTTGGAATTTTATTAAAAATAATTGGTATAATCTATATTTATATTTTGCTTGTCTTGGTGTTTGTTTGGGTGTTTGTTTGTTTGTTTGAATTCAAAAAACGTCAACACGGCTAAACCGATCGGGTCTAACCTCGCATGACCCCAGGGAAAGTTTATGCATGATCAAAATTTCAAAAATGAGCATAAAAAATACGATTTCCATTAAAATTTAAAAACGATTTTTTTTATAAAATCCGTTAACTTTTTTGTTTGTTTTTGTTTTGAATACAAAGTGAAAATGTTCACAATTGAAATAGAAGATGGGCGCAAATAAATCGCAATGTAAGCCTAGTTTAATATAATTCTACCTAGATTTGAAGATATATTTGCTCTTGAATACATGAATATAGAATTGCAGTAGAAGATCATAACTGTCATTCCTGAAACCCATTATTATTTTTAAACACAATATTTTTAACAATTAAGATATTTTATTACTTACCGGATAGGTTTAAGAAGAACATCATAAAAATAGAAATAAGGAAAGGTTTTAAAATACTTGCTTCTCCTAGAACCTTTACTGAAAATACAAAGTTATAAAATTGTCAAACCATGATAAGCTCTTTTATATTTATATGCCGTCAACATTTTGAAGAAGCTAAGTATGTCACAATACTTTCGGATATAATATTCAATCTTTTTATCGATAAATATCGTTAAAAGTTTCATCCCATCAACGTTAAAAACGTTAAAGGTTAAAATTCAACATAAAAGGAATTGAGTCTTTGCCACAAACTAAAAATGTTCTAATCCTCATAACTTTGCAACCTTTTGGTGTAAACTTTTGATCTAAAATAATTTACAGTTTGAAATATCTAAGGTCTACGACATTTGATTGTTAAGATATAAGGATTGGAAAATCAGAGTTTGTGGCAAAGACTCAATTCCTTTATAAGATTTGTGTGTGTGTATTTACTAATAAACGATTCAAATCAAACGGATCCATTGTGCTTGATAGTTATAATACGTAAAATTTTACACTATGTTCTAACAAGTAAAATAAATGTTTGAAATTTTTAAAGAACAAATCATATTTTTAATCAGTGCACGCAACCCTGCCCTCTAGTAAAAGTAAATTCAACTTAAAGTCTGACCGCGTCAACCTTGTTGCACCGACTGTTCCGATTGAGTGTCTGCTTTATTTATCCAATGTCCGTGCGATGCAGTACAAACTGGGACCGGAAAGGTTGACCCGGTTCGGATATTCAAATGTACTACGGCTGCTAGTGGTTTTTCACTTTTATTAAAAATACAATATAAATAATTTTAGTATTTTCGGTTTATATTTTCTTTTTAACCTGAAACTGTATTTTTCTTCTTTTTAACTTGTTCCAACTTTATAGCCCTGATTTCTGCCTGGAGTGCTTGGGGGGAATCCGTTCCTCTCAACCATTCCAGAGCAGTCCTGCCCTCGTCCTCTAGTCCTTATACAAGATATATATGGTTCCTTGAAACCATTCCAAAGCAGTTCGTCCTCTAGTCCTTATACAGGATATATATATACATACTTCCAGAGCAGTCCTACCCGCGTCCTCTAGTCCTTATACAGAATATATATAGTTCATAGCAACCATTCCAGAGCAGTCCTACTCTCGTCCTCTAGTCCTTATACAGGATATATATAGTTCCTAGCCACCATGCCAGAGCAGTCCTACCCTCGTCCTCTAGTCCTTATACAGGATATATATAGTTCATAGCAACCATTCCAGAGCAGTCCTACTCTCGTCCTCTAGTCCTTATACAGGATATATATAGTTCCTAGCAACCATTCCAGAGCAGTCCTACTCTCGTCCTCTAGTTCTTAAACAGGATATATATAGTTCATAGCAACCATTCCAGAGCAGTCCTACTCTCTTCCTCTAGTCCTTAAACAGGATATATATAGTTCATAGCAACCATTCCAGAGCAGTCCTACTCTCTTCCTCTAGTCCTTAAACAGGATATATATATAGTTCATAGCAACCATTCCAGAACAGTCCTACTCTCGTCCTCTAGTCCTATATACAGTTCCTAGCAACCATTTTAAAGCAGTCCTCCCCTCGTCCTCTGTAAATTTTTATAGAATAAATGCAACACACTTCTTTTGTTTTCTTATATTTTTTTTATCTATTTAATCAGTAATCCATAATCAAAGATAAATGTTGTATTAGGAAGGACATTGTATAAGTTTTACCTTTTGAGTAAAGCCATCTTGGAGATTCTGGACAAATATACATTCCAATAACAAATGGAACAACCATCACAATCATTAATCCTGAAAATTACATCTTAAAATTTTCTATTGTACAAAATATACTGCAACTGTACCATACCTGCTAACTGAAACCTAGGTGTTGAGCACCGTACTGTACTGCACTGTACCTGCTAGCCAAAGCCACTTTAGAAAGCATCCTGCTAAGCACTGAACTACTGTTCTGCACTGTACCTTCAAGATGAAACCACTTTAGAAAGCATCCTGCTGAGCATTGTACTGTACTGCACTGTACCTGCAAGTTGAAACCTTTTTAGAAAGCCTCCTGCTGAGCACTGTACTTTTCTGCCCTGTACCTGCAAGCAGCAACCAATTTAGAAAGCATCCTGCTGAGCACTGTACTGTACGGCACTGTACCTGCAAGCTGAAACCAGTTTAGAAAGCATCCTGCTGAGCACTGTACTGTACGGCACTGTACCTGCAAGCTGAAACCAGTTTAGAAAGCATCCTGCTGAGCACTGTACTGTACTGCACTGTACCTGCTAGCTGAAACCAGTTTAGAAAGCATCCTGCTGAGAAAATAATAAGTACACCAATGCTTCCAAGAAACTGAACAAAACATCCCAGAAATCCTCGGAGATCTAAAAAATTATTTCTTAAAGTTTTAAAGCTTTGTATTCGTCCCGACGATACAGTTTTGTCAAGTTAACGTGATAATATGTAAATATTTCAAATTTCTTCAAATTTAAAAAAATCTATTTCCCTTCTAAGGTCATAAACTCCATCCCGGACAAAAAGTGAGTTGAGGACAAAAATACTGGTCCGAGATTTTAAACACACTTTATTTTCCGCTCAAAACCTGCCGAGACAATCAGTAAGGTTTGTAAAGGTTTAAAATGAGTGAGTCGATACGATAATAGGGATAAAAAAGTTATTATTTACCAGTTGTTGCAATCTCCACGATATAAATGGAGGATACAGCGAGGACGAAACCTAAACCCATTCCGTTCAAGAACCTAGAAGTAAAAATATCTTTAAAGGAAAGTGTCGCCAATTGTTTAACATTGTTTTACTTTTACAATAATTAAAGAGAACAAAGTGAAGAAACGTCCGTTAAGTTTCATTTCACAATTTTATAATTTTTCAAATAAAACGAATTTTTATATTTTGGTCCTCCTGAATGGTAGAGAGAAGAAAAAAACAAAAATGAAAGATATGCTGTATTTTCGTGACAAATATAGAGTTTTACTACCTTCCAATAAGAACCATTGCTGGAGCGGTTGCAAGTAAAATGAGAATAAACCCAGACAGATACAATCCACTGGTAAACACTAAACAATGCAAACATTTCAAATAAAATTGTTAGATTTTATTTTTTCAAGTTTGTCAAGCAGGATTGAAGTTTTTGAAGTTAAGTTATTGAAAAAGTAATAATTATTTTTCCGAAATAGTTTAAGTAAACGTATTTAAACCAAAAGTAAATATTGCGGAAATATTGTATAAAATTAAATAATACTAACATTATAAAGATAAAAGATAAAAAAAACTTTAAGTCAGAAGAATTTATTGCATATATAATGAATCAATATTTAAATATTGCAAATATGCGAATAAATTCATATATATAGATATTTACCTAAAAGAGTTTTTCTTCTTCCAAATTTATCCATTGTTGGTCCTGCTAGGATACACCCTACCAGAGCACCAATAGATAGCAGCCCAGCTTAATAATAAACAAATGGCAATGATAATAATAATAATAATAATAATGATAATCATGATGATGAATAATGATAATGATAATAATAGTAAAAATATTAATGATAATAATAACAACATTATTGCTAATAATATAAAAGGATAATGATAATGATAATTATTATAATGATAACAACATAAATGCTAATAATATACAAAATGATAATGATAATAATGATAATAATAATAATGATAATGATAACAACTTTAATGCTAATAATATAAAAAATGATAATGATAATAATGATAATGATAACAACTTTAATGCTAATAATATAAAAAATGATAATGATNAAGGCTAGAAAGAAGGGCGCGAAGCGCCTTGAATTTCTAGTATAATACATTCTATTAATACAACTTAAACAGTGATTTCATGTTTGAACGTGAGCAATTAGCAAATATAACTTTATCCTTCATATTGTAAAATTATTTGAAATATTGTTAAAATTAGCATGAACAATATAACTATGTCCTTCATATTGTGAAAATTATTTGAACTTGTAAATCATTATTGCTAAAATTATTTGAACATGTAAATCATTATTGTTAAAATTATTTGAAAATGTAAATTATTATTGTTAATATTAACATGAACAATATAACTATGTCCTTCATATTGTGAAAATTATTTGAACTTGTAAATCATTATTGTTAAAATTATTTGAACATGTAAATCATTATGTCCTTCATATTGTGAAAATTATTTGAACTTGTAAATCATTATTGTTAAAATTATTTGAACATGTAAATCATTATTGTTAAAATTATTTGAACATGTAAATCATTATTGTTAAAATTGTTAAACATTAAATATATTTATTCCAAGAAAAAATTTCTTATTTGCTAAAAATCTAATTAAAGAGTGCTACAATTTTGGGTTTAAATGTTTTATAAAAAATTGAATTTTTTTTGCAGATGTTTGTTTAGGTGTGATGAAATACAGACAGTCCAGTGAATGAAGAATAAATATTTAAAATATAGTTTCTTTTATACTTTTAATATGAAATAAACCAATTAACCTGTGTACCCGATAACAGCTCCATTAAGCATACAGCCCAGAGTTGCACAAAAAGTTGCCAAAATCTTAAATGTAAATTTTTTTAAATAGTGGATTATAAATCAAAATTGCGAAAGCAAGTTTTAATTCATGATAAAAAACTTAAATTCATGCTAAATTACCGCTAGTTTAATATCATAATTTGTTTATATATGATGAATTTTGAAAGACAATTGTTTGGTCGCTAGGTGTCTCTGCTCTCAATATTTCAAAGATTTCACTTGGGAGAGAAACCTAGCGGCCAAAATCGTCCTCAAAAGTACAACGTTTAAAGAAAAAAGATTATGATATAGATATGATGAACCATATTGGAATGACCCGAATTGAGTTAGACCATTTCGACCTGCAATATCTTAACGATAAGTTTTAAATTTAATTGAATTATCTACGGTCTAGGTAAAATGATTCACCGACGAAGGGTCAAACGACCCAGGGTCATACGACAAAAGGGTCAAACGACACAGGGTCAAACGACACTGGGTCAAACGACAAAGGGTCAAAAGTGCGACAAAGGGTCAAACGACAAAAGGTCAAAATGATAAAACGGCCCAGAAAGTGTCTTAACCTAACCTAACCCTAAATAATAATAAATAAATGGATATAATTGACCATGTGGCCATAGCGCTCGGCCCCCTAGCCTGTCCTAGCCGCTGCGCTCGGGCCAGAAAGTGTCTTAACTAACCTAACCCGTGGCCGCAGCGCTCGGCTCCCCAGCCTGTTCTAGGCGCAGCGCTCGGCCCAGAATGTACCTAACCTAACCTTAAATAATAATAAAAAATACTAAACGTCAAAATTAAAAAAAATTTGCCCTTTTGTCGCATTTTTGACTCTTTGTCGTTTGACCCTGTGTCGTTTGACCCTTTGTCGCGTTTTTGACCCTTTGTCGCGTTTTTGACCCCTTGTAGTTTGACCCTGTGTCGTTTGACCCTGGGTCGTTTGACCCTTTGTCGGTGAATCGGTAAAATAATGCAATTCCGTGGATTTGTATGGATCCTACACTCTTCGGTATGAATCGTTTTTGACCATTTTCTCTTTATAGACGCAACAGATAGGCGTAAAATTAGTTGTGATCGATATCGAATTCAATTCAGGATCTGCACATACCCTCTTTCATTTATTACAAACACTTCCTGTAATAGTGAATATAAATGATCTCATTATATATCTTCACCTGTTTTTTCTTTGAATATTGAGTAGAGATATCATACTTAAAGGTTTCCTCTTCTTTATTCTCCGTCCAACCTTTCATAACCAAACCCTCATCCTCCGGATCATCTTTATATATTTATTCAATCATAACATGGTCAAAACTTGTGTATTATTAATCCCTTCTTAAAGCACTAAACCGGTTCTCTTTCCTCCTCAAGAGACAAGTGGGATTTATTTTTTAAATAATAATGGGGGTTTTATTAATGTTAAATTAATTTTAGATTCATTTATTTTATGATAATGGGTAGTTTATTTAGATGCATCTAGATAATTAAAACTGTTTATAATGATTTAATAAGTTTATAAGTAGAGTTCTAGGTCTACATAAAAGCTGTTCCTTTCTGGTTAGCTTGATTAATGACCATTTATATTTCAAAACCGTACTTTTATTCATATTAATCTTAATATGCAAAAATATCGAAACGTTCTTTTTAGAACAATGAAATGTTACTGGTCACTTAATATCTATTTGTATATTTTACATTTGCGTAATTAATGTAGAAAACAAATGTATTGGTAAAACTGGTCAACTAAAGATCAAAGTAAAGCAAAATACTAATATAATAATTACCAAATATTGGCTGATTTGTTGAACCCATGTTGTACAAGGTACACACTGTATTGTGTACTGGAAACTAATTTCAAACATATATTACCTTATCTTTATTACAGTGTTTTATTGGACTTCATTTTTAATATTCAAGAATTATAAATTAGTTTCGACACTCTCACATTTCTCACATTTCTCACTTGATAATTTTGTAATGCATTTATTCCAATGTATACATTTGTGCTTAATCTTTACAATATGTTTAATTTGTTTATGGTATTTCGGGACAAAATTAAAAAAGATGAAACCAAAATTACAAATTATTTTTAATCTTTTTTCTCTCCATTTTGAGTGACCTCCTCCCCATGGGGTATTTTAGGGGGTTAGGAGGGGGGGGGGGGGATTGACTGTTTTTTTTTCACAATTGCAATACTCCTCTTAAATGCAGTTAAAATGGACAAAATAAATATTTTCTGATAATGATAAACATTTTATCAATTGTAGCTAGCATTGATTTATAATGATTTCAATTTATAATTACTTTTCCCGTCCATATATTTATATATTTAGATTATCCCATAAACGCTGTGATTTCTTGTACTTTTGCTATAAAATATACGTTTTTCTTCCGAAATAGCTTGCTGTAACAAAGACGACATCTAAGTATATTATGGGTTTACAGGATTCAAGGATAATAGATTCTAACAGCTATATAGAAAATATTTAGGGGTGTCAGTAGCACGCCAAAACCTTGATTTAGTCTGAGGTAGTGTGTTAAAAAATCCTATTTTAAGAGTTTTCAATGAAATAGCGAGTTTTTGACAAAAATAAGAGGTTCATTGAATAAACTCATTTTGGCTGACCCCCCTTTAATAGACCCTGCGCCCCCCCCCCTCCTATTCAGAACCGTCCCCTTTGTTCGAACGAAAGATGACAATTCTTTAACATTTTTTACTGTTATGGAGGGTGGTTTAAGGAGGTCGTCTTACTTTTGCTTTGTCTGCAGAAAGTTCTTTAACTTAAAATTAAAAATTTAAAATGAAATTTCATCTGACAGAGCCTTTAATTTGTATCATTAAAATGGAGGCCGTTACTTTTAGAAGTAAGTTTATGTGTGTTTTTTATACAAAATTTACTTTTGAAAAGTACTGTGTAAACAAAAATTGAAAATACTTTGCAACCATGATCAACTTTTTATGTTCTCCGACTACAAACTATTATTTATATTTTATACTTTATTCTTGTTTTTTTCTTATCTTATTGTACCATTTTACCTTTGTGTACGAAATAAATCTATAAAAATATTAGTGTTTTGGAAGTAAGTTTTTTTGTTGCTGTTTTACCCCCTCTTAGATATTACCGGCCCTTTGAGTTGAGATACTGAAGTGAGATACATGCCACCAGTCCAACTTATTTAAAAAATTCTAAAAGTCCCTCAGAAAAATGTGTTAAAAAAATATTTTTTTGAAAAATGTTAACAACTTAACATGTTACACATTTTTCTACATTCATTTTTCAGGGGCTGTTAAACTGAATAAATTGGACATCTGTAGCTTAATAAAAATGTATAAACTATTTTTGATTGTTTCGAAAACACTGACCAGCCGTTAGACTGTCCTCTTCCCTACTCTATGCATGAACAAAATTTGTTCAGAACTATGAAGTTTGAACCCTGTAGATGTTAATTACACATTTTTTATTTCGGTCCAGGTTGGCCCTGTTCATTTGATAACCATCAACTACTACAATATATAAACAATAACATAAAATAGTACAAATAAACATTAAAAAAAATGTTGTCAGAGGAAAAAAATACTCAAATTATGATTTACGAAAAAAGAAAATCAATTTGAATATTATTTCACTATTCAAAGAATGTTTAAAGGAGATTAATTGATATTCGTTTCTGTCATGAAGATGCAAAACAAACTTTAAAGTGTATTACAGTATAAAGTGGGGTTGAGGATCTAATTTGCAAACATTTGAAAAACTCGGTTTTAATAATACGCGACGCGACGTATACAAATGTTTGAATATAAAATCGATAAGTTGATTAGTTGACTATTTTTAACCCTAACCTTGTTGTTTGTTGATGTCAACTCCAGATAATGCTGTATACCCTAAATACTGTGTTTTAAGGAGTAATTATGATTAATGAATATTCTGTAC